TGATGCGCGCGATTGCTCTGAGAGTTGCTACCGCACAAGTTTGGTGATCAATGTGAAGGCGTGTGACTCTCAGAAGGGGGATGGCAGAGCGGACAATTGATCAAGCACGAGGAAGTCAACAAGACAGACGAGCTAGTCGATCGCTAGTTGATTCTTTTTTCTTGTAGCCGAACGAGTAGAACGAATAACCGATGGGGTCAAGGGATGTGTTAGGGGGTGCGGATGGGGAAGGGGACGGTGGAGATCTTTTTAAAGTGTTTTTGCGCTTTTTCGAAAAGAAAATATGAACGACAAACACCAGTTCTCGCGTCAAAGGGAGTAGTCCCAGTCCACGGTGACAACGATACTTAGTGAAAAGCTCGTTGAAATATGAGATAGGAGGAAATGGAGATTTTCGCAAAGTGGACAAAAAGAGGAGGGAGGGAAGAGGAGAATATAGGTTGAATGATGTAAAGAGAAGAGAAGGAAAAAGGAGGAGGAGGGATGAGGAGAAGAGTCAAAGGAGAGGGGAGGAGGGATGGGGGGAAGTAGAAGAGGAGAGAGGAGAGGAGAGAGAGAGAGAGAGAGAGAGTGCGCGAATACAGACGTAGTAAAAAAAAAAAAAGGCAGCAGCAGCGGAGAACGAGGGAGAAAAGAGAAGAGCAGAGCAATTGACTGGGACTAGGCTAGGTAGGCTAGGCTCGTTAGTAGTGGTCAAGAGGGTCTCAAGAGGTGTCAGAGGCGGCGGCGGCGGTCGTCGTTTGGGGGGCACGGCGAGTCTGGGAGGGTGGAAAAGTCACTGAGAAAGTGACGATCCCCGGCTCAACTGGCCTTGTACTGACTAACCTCTTTCTTTTTTTTTCTCTGGGATTTTTTTTATTTTATTTTTCCATTTAGTTGATCAAATTATTTACCCTTTCCTCTCACAGACAGTAAGAAAGAGAGAGAGGGCAGTGGGTAAAGGTAAGTGAAACGGGAAAGGAAAGGCAGAAAGGGCTTGGTATGGTAAGAGAGTCGTAAGCCAATGTGATCCCGCCTCGGGTGGGGATTTTATTCATGGTTCATTCAATCATCTTTGCCCATTGTATTAGATAAGTGGTTTTTCTACTGCTTAGTTGTTTTCTGCTACAAGTTGTCCCCTCAGGCAGCAGCAGCAGCAGCAGCAGCATCATCATCAAACCTGATGATAACTTTTGATAGTCTTCAACATGATTCAATCGGATGCCTTACTGCCATCCAAAGACATGAATCTAATTACTGAAACCAACAGTAATGGTGGGCCATCCAGAATCCATACATGACCAACCGGTACCACATCCTGCCCCTAAAAAGTCCGTAGGGATTCTCCGTAGGGGTTCGGATTCCTTATGGAACAATAGATGGCCTTTCCTCATCAACAGTAGCAGCATCATCGCCCGCCAGAGATCCCCAGTCTCCAAACTCAGTACGGAGTACGTAGACCCCCGATAAAAGTCAAACCATTAATAAGAGACCAGCCGCAGCATCCGAGCAGATGGGACTCGAATCATCTCCATTAAACTAACTTAACTAACTTAACTAATGCTTCACATGGGGTGATCGTTTAGAGTTTTCAGAAATTTCAATGGCTATGATGGATGGGGGAGACTAGGAGACTAGGAGACTAGGAGACTAAAGCCAGGAATAATCTTAGTCGGAGAGTTGACGATGTTCCCGTTCGTGCTCCATCAAGCCCCCATCGTTGTTCTGGTTGGTTGGTCTGTTGGTGTTTTAAGGGGGGGGAAGGGAATGAACCTTTGCAAGAGGAGAGAAAAGGTTAGTCAGAATGGATGGGAATGAATGAGAAAGAAAGGGAAAAATTCAGAAATTCCTTTTTTTTTCCCTCTCTTCACCGTAACACTGGAGTCACTGGGCAGGCTAAGACAGAGGCTAGAACAGTAAGAGAATACCCATATCCATGGGTAGGGGCCCTCTTTCGACCGTCGGCACCGAAAAAAAGACTGGAACGAGGGTAGGGCCTTTTCCTGTCTAGTATGAATTAATGATGATGAAGAGGAGAATGAGATGAGGAGGTGCAGTAGAATTAATCCTGTGATCCTCTGGCTTACCGTTTTTAATTTAAGGAAATATTACCTATCTCTCGCCGACAACCGCATTGGGACCAATGTCGAGGTTTCAATGAGGTAGGATTACTGTTCAGTAAACAAATCGAGCTTTGACCTGCCACCACCACCACCGTCTTTCCCCCCAAGCTGGGAATGATACTCCGAGGTCCCTTGGCCATAGCTGCAAGAGTGAATGAAGTACGACTAACCTGTACAGTAAATTTGATTCACTTGCAGTGCCTGCCGCCCGCCTGACTGAGCGGCAGTGCTATCCAATAATAAGCTGCACGACCAGACCGGGCCAAACTGCACAACCACCCTTTCTACTCACTGGCAGTAAGCTCCAGCGGTTGGCGGTGGGCAGTCTCGGGGGAGCCAAACGGTTCAGTTTTAGTCGGGGTAAGTTAACTAATTTAGTTTGATGTTGAGTTTAGTCAGTCAGTCACTGCAAGTTACTTAACTAGACTGAGTACCAATTAGTCTAGGACTCTAGGGGCAGGCTCGAACGGCCAACCCAGAAGGCATCGGCACTTGGGGTTGGTCACCGCAGTGACCCATTTATTACTACTTCCAGGGCGCTTAGCGGCGGCCGGTCTGCTTAATTGCAAGAGCTAAGAGGAGGACGGCCATGGGATGGAGGGAAGGAGAAAATTCCTCGAACCCACCACATGTTGGCATCTCTCGAACCAGGGTGGGTGATTCAACCATTTAACAGCAGCTACTAGAATATGGACATTGGCGGTAATTTTTTCGAAGTCTGCAAGCAAAGGATATTGGATTGTTATGTCGTCTCACAAGGCCACCTTTCATCATGCTTCCCACCGTTGTTTTATCCACTGACACAGTCGTTCACCAAGCAAAAGTAGATTGAATTTAACTAACACAAAAACAAAATAATAATAGGAGGCCTGGGTGACGATGCCGACCTCCAATCAATCCCAGACGGGGCAACGTCCTACGATCCATTGGCCTGGTGGAACAGGCGGCGGTACGGAGTACGTGTACTATGTACGGAGTACTGTACTATGTATGTGTATGTAGAGGGCGAACAGTCAATGAAAGTCCTGGTCGACTTAAGGTTCAGAACTTCACAGGATCATCGAAACTGATAGAGAGAGCAATGCAGTGCAGGTGGCCTAGCCATGGCCAGTTTATAAGCCAGACAGGATACCAACAGGAGCATTTCCGTCACTTCTTGTCTATCGGAGGCAAAAAATTGAAGTCACACCTCGAAAAGAGGGCGAAGAGCAACATGAAAGGAGCGGCCGAAGAGCGCTAGTGGTACGGCTCGACAAATGACTGGGCCGTGCGCCCCCGTGCAAATTTATCAAATGATGGGCAAAGGAAGAAGCCAGAAACAAAAAAAAAAAATAGAACTAAGGAATTTAAAAACTAAACAGGGAAAAAAAACGTGTCGTGGACAGGACTAAGAAAGTTGACTAAGATAAAATGGGTTCATGGAGATTGAGTCGTTCACACCAAAAGTGTGGCTTGGCTTGTTGGTCGCATAAGGTGGATTATCTAATCCATTCTGGTTGGATATTTATAACTTTTTTCCAAAGGCCCCCGCCCAGTCACCGTGTATCCGAAAAGGGGCAGGCGGAGGCAACATTGATTCAATCATTCAATCATCGGTCAATCATGGATCCATCATGGATCCATCATGGATCGTGGTACTAATTGGGTCAGTCATCAAAATGGATCTAGATGGATGGATGGATCATGGGGTGAGAAAAAAAGAGGGGGCAGCAGCAGCAGCAGCATCCAGCTCTACGTCTACAGTAGTCTAGTCAGTCTAGAAGGGATGGAATAGCGAAGAAGGGCATGATCTCAGGGGAGGAAACCTCATCATCACCAGTATGGTCGCGACAAGTCAACGGTGGCGATGGGTGATCTCAAGGCGGAGCCCATGACACCATGCCATGCCATGCCAGGTCCTGCCCTGCCCTTTTGCCCTTGCCCTGTGTCACTTCTGGCTCATGAACCCTGAAGGTCTGGAAGCCTGGGTCTTCCTAGACTGCCTGGACTGTCTGGACTGCCTCATTTTCACCATGATGGTCGAGGTCGCTCGCTGTAGGTCACCACATATGCATCAGCAGGTCCTCTACCGGTACATACGGTACTTACTGTAAGCTGTATCTTTCCGGACAGGTTAGCAGCAGGGAAAAGGCATCAATCATCATCATCATTGTACATATTTTTTGACTGCCAATACTCGGTAGTCACCTACCTTTCAGGTAGAATCGGTAGAACCTTGAGACGAACCGACACATTCCAGCTCCTTCCATTCTGTCGACATTCCTGCCTGTTGCTGCAGCTCAGCCATCATCAAACATCAACCCAATCAATGATGGGTTATTGAGTCCCAATATCCTGTTGGTAGAGGTGACAGATCTGGTATACGTACAGTAAGTACATATCCATAGTGGTAAAGAGGGGGGAAGAGCATGTGCCTGATCTCCCTGTGGCTCGGAGGCTGGCCAGAGGAATTATCTCATCAGCATCGTCGTCGTCACCTGAAGCGTTGCGGCTGTTACCTACCTTCCTTCATTGCTCTCTTGGTGACTCAGAGCTGCATCGGAATGCATCCAATCAACGCTGGGAGGGGTGTCGGACAGGCTGAGTGATTTTCATTAGTTGGTGAGGTGACTGGTGCAGTGGTTGCTTACAAAAGACGTATTCAAGCTGCATTTAGATAACTAGGGCTACGACTCAAGGTGGTGGTGGGATGCTCAGCCGGTCTCAACCAGGCTACCACGGTAATAATAATAGCTCCAGCAGTAAGCATGGCGGTTTGTCGGCGGGGTAGGTTGATATTCTGGAAAACAGCCAGTCCCTGGTTGCTATCGCAATCATGGCGCCAGTCACCTTCCACCTCCTGCAGGCACATCGAGATACAGTACAGCGCGATCTACAACTGGGCTTATGGATAAAGAACATAAACCATAACAATCTATTGTAGCTAAAACTCGAGACCTCGATGATTGAGGCATTTCGAGGGGGGATCTTATTCTCTCTTCTACGGAACAGCCCAATTGTGTTGTGTCTTACCCGACCGGAGGATGAGCCATCACAAACCATCACCATCAATATATGTAATTGTACGGAGTATACGTGCCTGGCTGGCTGTTGTACCACCCTCCTTCCACGCCCATCATTCTATCAATGCCACCATCGATCCAATCCAAGACAAACCCCCAGTAGTAATATCAAGAAGCAAATAACACCCCCAAGTGGAACTCAACAATGGTCCTGAGTATTTCGCCCGCTCAAGCAACTACTAACCTCGATCGATCTCCATCTTTCATCCTGTCGAATCTGAGCTTGCCGTGCCAAACCCTCTCACGCTTCACCCCACTCCATCTGCACCCAGCAAGATCGAGTAATGGTGAGTGGGGGTGGGCAGAGAGGCAGTCTTTGCCTTCAGTCTCTCTATCGTTGCTTCACTCTCAAGCTCGGGAGGGAGTGAATGCCCTGCCTGCCCATCTGACCAGCCATCGCTGCCCGAAGGGCCCCGTCCTAGAGAAGTTTAATCATCACGATAATCCCGCATGTCGCGTATGCAAGCCCTCCAATCCTTCACGATAGTGATACCTTCCCATCGTCTCTGTCACTCTTCGGGAGAGCGCTTGCCCCCCCCCTCCCTCCCGCCTCCCCTTCTTCGTTTCTTTCCGATTTCCCAGCTCTATCTTCCGATATCGCCATTTGCCCCCCTCTGTTTGGAGGCGCAGGAGGGCTCAGATCGACTGTATCGGTCATCCTCACCTGGCAACTGACACGGACACTGACATTGACAGTTGACATTGATGACCCTGAGCCGGACAGACGGATATGCAAGAAGCACTGAGTTGACTGCCTCTGCCTATCTGCTTCTTTCGCCTTGCTTTGAGGTGAGCCCCCCGCCGTGCCTGTTCGACACCTTGACATTTGATGCCGCCGCACCGCTCACCACCTACCATCTCTTCGCATTCGCACTGTGCCTGCCTGCCTACCTGCCAGGTCAAGCTTAACTATACCGATCATAATATCCGATTCCCTATGAATTATCCTATTCGTCCTATAGTCTCTGCCCCCCTCCGTACGCTGAAAGGATTGACGAGAAGCCCCTCCTTTCCGCCAGCACCTTGAGAGAATGAGAACCTCTACATTCTCCATATGGAGTTCTGCATCCAACCCTCAATTACCCGCCCACGACCCCTCATCCCCTAAACTCCCCCATCCCCACCAACCACACTAATGTAATTGGATAGGAACAAGAAACAAAAAAACAGGAACAGGCACAGGAACAAGAACCTCAGCCCTCATCCCTCAACCCTCAACCCTCAACCCTCAAACCCCTCCTCCTCTCCCTTCCCGTCCATTGCCCTATTGACACATTGTCCCCTCCTATAGACTGTCTTTAGAGCAGTAAGTATATCCCTCAAAATCTACTCTCGGGTCAACACGGATTCTTCTACGAGGAAAAGGAAGGTCAAAGCCATCATCATCACTACCTAGTGCCTACCTATCTACATTGAATGAATTCCAGAGACTCCGTATGGACAACCTACCCAGGGCGGACTCTATTCCCTGGCTCTCCACCCCACGACCAGACAAAACAAATCAAAACAATAAACATTTCCGCCCTCCTCCACTACAGTACAGTTATACAACGGAATGAAAATATACATCGATGAATCCAATCCACGAACCGGCCGAGAATACTCCTAATGCCCCGGAGCTGGAAACAGTAACAGTCCTCACTTACCTACCCAGGTAGCCATTCTGAAGTTCGCTATACTGAATCCCGTAATTGTATATCATGTACAACTCACGACTACAACTACAACTACAACTTCACTACTGTACCAAAGTAAAGACCAAGAAAAGCCGGGATGGCGGGGGATGGGGGCACGATCCTCCCCACTCACGCTCCCCCCCCACCGGCAACAATGAAACAACGCAACAATAAAGAAAAAACAACGGGAATGTCAGTCGGGAGTTTCGGATACGAGAACGGATGGGCAAAACAGAAACAAAAAAAATCATTCCTACTTGACAATTGCAATTTCTCGTTATTCCATCCACTCCCAAAATGCGGCAGAAATGCAGAGAAGGAGGGTGAGTGAGGGGTTCTGTTTATCGGTCAGGTACCGGGCGCCGAAACAACCAACCCCCTCCCTCGTCGTAGAAACTTTCTCACCACATGTGTATGCGTGTGTGTGTGTGTGTCATTCTGACATCTACTTTGTACCCTCATGCATCACCATCATCATCCATCCTATTCAGATTTCGGAAGGATGCATCAGAAGAAAAAGCAGGTTTTGGGATCCTTGATCTGACTGTTAGTTCGACATTTAATCATTTAGAAATTGCGCCGTGAGTCATTTAGGCCCATCGTGATTGATCCGAGCACAAAGACGGACACATAGACAAGACAAGACAAATAGCACCATGTAATGCAAGATCGTATTCTTTCGTTCTTTTCTAGCTACTACGATCATGCATCAGGATCCCCTCCTTCTCCCCCTCCATCCCGAAATCTTACCTCCCCCGACTGATTCCGGCTCCAGCTCGTGCAGGATGAGGGGGCAGGAAGAACTGGATGTCATCACCAAGTCCCGCCGGAGATTTCCGGCTGCAATGTCGAGAATGAGTGGAAAGAATGGACACGTTGATGTGGTGAAGCAATAAGATCAAGGAGGTAGACGGTAGACAGGTAGGTATGTATGTATGTATGTAGCGCCATCCTCAAAAACGTGAGACAGGACTCTCGGGGTCCCAGAACAGAGTGGATATCATTGATAAATCAACCAGTCAGTGATAAACGGGGTGTGTGGAAACATGGAAGGTAGGAGAAGCAAAAGTTATGAGGATGTTCAGCAAGAAAGTAACAAAACGTCAGAGAAAATATATCGTATCATGAATGCTTCGAGTTTCTCATGCTCATTAGAACCGAATTGACGAAGGGGAACGAGGATCAGCTTTTCGCGCTTGCGCTCTGATACCGTTTCCCTCTTCCCTTTAAACACTTTGAACACCAGATCCGAATTGAAGTCGGTTCGCCATGTGCCAACTGCATGCAGATTAGACAGGACAATCCATAAAAAGCAAGGTGGTAGAATGCAGAATCCCAAGTCGTAAAATTCGTCAAGCCAAGGCCATCAAGGTTCTTCGTCCCCTGAATGCCAGTCAATGCCCACTGGTCACAATTCCTACTCCCCCTTCAGGCTTCCGATCAGATTACGGAGGGCATCTACAATGACCTCCTCATCTTTTGGTTCACCGCCGGGGAATGAGCTGTCCGTTGCGTTGCCGAGTACACGGGCTCGCGCACTCTTGAGCACCTCCCGGATGTAGTTCTTATCCTCGTAATCCTCCATGAGAACAGCCTCGAAATCGTCGATGGCCTTGTTTGCACGATCATTGAACGAGGATGCGTCCGAAGAAACCATATGAGCTGGACCGGGGCCAGGGACCATACCCATGTTTGGCTGATGCTGCATGGGAGGCCCCGGGGGTGGCCCCGGGGGTGGCGGGGGCGGAGGATGCGTTTGATGTGTTTGATGCGCTGGATGTGGCGCATTAGACGGAGGCATTGGTGGAGGATTTGGCGGAGGGTAAGGTGACTGATGTTGGGGTTGTGGAGGCATTGATTGCGATTGCTGTTGCTGCAGCTGCACCAGCTGCGGCGGCGGATCGGACGCATACGGTGAGGTGTAGGTGGAAGGAGTGGTCTGAGCGAAGGCGGGCGGAAGGTTGTTGCGGAGCGGACTGGGTATTGGAAACGGGGTCGAGGCGGCGGGTTGAGAAGGCGGGGGATAGGGACTCGCGTGATGGGGTGCCGGAGGAGCAGGAGACGGAGCGGGAGCGGGAGCGTGGGTGTGAGTGTGAGTTGCATAGGGGTTGGATGGCATAGCAGGGAATTGGAAGTGCGGATTGGCCATGCTAGGCTGTCCATTTGGCTGAGTGCCATATGATGGATTCAATGCAGGCATGTACGAGGGAGGAGCGGGAGGCGGCGGCTGCGCCGCTGGCGGAGGAGGTGACGGGCGCCTCTTCTTCTCCTTCTCAACAGAAGCTCCAGGGCGGAGCTGCCAGGACCATCCCTTTCCATCCCGCTCAGCATGCATGAAAAGATGGCTGTTTCCATTGAGGTTGTGCCGTACACTGGACGTCCAACCTTCGGTTTCGCACTTGAAACGGAAATATGGATATTTCAACTTCAACGCTCGATAGATCTGCTTGAGTGTCATCGGAGTACCAGCCTCGGTGAGAGCATCGAAGATGAGAACGGCGTAGTTGTAAGGCGGCTTGGCCAGATCCTCCGGGGTATATGCTGACTCGGGAGGATAATTCGGAGATGGTGACCGCGAGGGTTTGCGCTTCTTGACAGGGGGGGCTTTGATGAACTCCTCCGGGCGATGTTCCATAGGATACTGTCCACCTTCGGTGGAAGGTAGGGGAAAGTCCATAGGAGTGCCATCGGGCTTCTTTCTCTTGGTATACTTGCGTTTCTCAGGTTTTGACCCAGGTGACTCTCCGCCCATCTCCTTGGGCGTAACAGCCGCCGTCGTTGAGGCTGGAGCCTTGCCAGCTTTCGGCCGGCTCCCAGGCGGAGGAGTAACGCCTCCATTGGCCTCGCGCTTCGCTGCCAATTTTTGTTCTCGAGCCAGTTCTGCTCTTTCTCGCTTGGACATGATGCCATCCTTAGGAGGACGCCCGGGACCGCGACGTCGGATCGGTTGTAACGCCGGATCGATAACTCCCTCTACCGAAGGCATTGGTCGCGCCGAGTCGGGCTCTCTGGTTTTTAGTATGAGTTTCGTTGGCGGTCTAGGAGCGTCCTTATTATCCGCAGATTCGGACGGACCCCTCTGCATATCAACTTCGTCTTCAACTGCAGGAGCTGGTGTCTGAGAGGTTTCCTCCCCTGTACCCAGGGGCTCCTCGACACGGTCAGCACCAGTCTCACCGATTGGCACATCTGGTAATAGAAAGCGAATGCGAACACCTCCAATCTGGATGTAGTCGCCGCTATGTAATGGTCTGATCTGACCAGGCGATAACCAATCTGCACCAATGAACGCGCCATTTCGTCCCATGACTTCCATCTCAAACAGATTCTTATCAAAATTATAGGCGATCTTGACATGTTTGCGGGAGATACCACGGTGGCCAGCGGCACTGCCGTCAACGGTGGCGGGAGGGTGAATGGGGATTGTCGGACATGCGTCAGGCGAAGGGAGCAGCGCAAGAGCATCAACTGGCTTTGCATCGCCGTTTTCTTCATTCAATGACTGCATCGCTAGGGCATTGTAGTCGGTGGTGTTGTTATCGGTCGATTGAAGTTGAGCTGGAGTAGCATGCAGCGGAGCGCCCGATTCCGCATGGGAAGAAACCGACGATCGCCGGCTGAGACGAGGAAGATGGGAGACATCGGGATCGAAGCCCATAATTCCACCACGGTCACTGACAACGCTGCCCATCATACCGCTGCCTTCATGCTTCACACGGACGGGGGTATGCGACATGTTTCCACCACTAGAGCTCTTCGCTCGCGTTGTCCTCATTGCCTGTCGAACTTGTATTTCGCGTTGATGCGCAGCGCGAGCGGCTCGTACATCACGACCAAGGATAAAGGAATAAGTGTTGCAATAGAAATGACCGTCATCGAACTCAAGCTTCGCAAATGCTTGAATCCGGGGTTCGGAGCCGGTGACAGAACCCGAGCCATCATGCGGTAGACCCGAATATCCAAGTGCGGAGAGATCGGCGCTCTGCGATAGATACGCGTCTGTAAGCATCTCATTGTGTTGCAATGCATCGAAGGGATTCTTCGAGGAGGACGACAGATCGAAGGGTGTGAAAAGATCAGCATGGTCGATGCCGCCTTTCGCGAAAAGCAATGGATCTGTGAGGCCGTCGATTGAATCGTTCATCTTAACGGTCGGGTTCGTGTCTTCTTCGGGATTCGTCAGGGCCATATCGGGTTGGGGTTCGTCCTGCTGGTGATGCGAAGATGGCTGGGCAGTCGATGTCGGCGGGATTTGATCCGCGCCTCCGCCGGTCGAGTCGGCAGGCGCAGTGGCCATAGGCTCTGAAGTTGAATCTAACGTCCATTGGAGATTTGATTTATCGTCGACCTGGTGCGGTTGATCCGTCGCTTGCGGGGCTGGTGGCATTGGGTGGTCCTCAGACGGCGATGGACCGGAGGAGGATTGATTGCCAAGGAGCTGGGCCAGCAGCGCACTGGCGGCGGACTGACGACGGAGATCGGATTGGGAATCATGCGGCGCAGGAGATACTGAGGATTGCTCGTCGGGTTCGGATTTGATTGTAGTTGAGGAAAGAGCGGGTAGGCCATTGGGGGACGAGGCATCGAGGGGATCGGGGACAGGATCTTGCAGAGCGCGGATTGCGGAGTCGTTGGGCGGGGATGAATGCGGTTGAGGGTCAAGATGCTGTTGCTGGTGCTGGTGCTGCTGTTGTGATCGAGGATAGTCGTACACGGACGACATATCCGGGGCAGCATCCGGAGGACGATGGCCCACCGCTGGCGCTGTCATGGTCTGCGACGACGACATGACCGGCGGCTGGTCTTGACGGGGGTCGAGTAGGGGAGGATTGGGGGTGGAGGGAGACAAGACGGAAGAGGAGGAGGAGAGAAGTCGAGGGCGGTGAGCCCGTCTCCCGGCCCAGGACGGCCTCTGACTGGTCGGCGAAAAGTAGTGCCGGCGATATTTTTTTTTTTCATGGAGTTTTTTCTGCCGCTTCCGGTGACGGGATGGACGGTACCTTTTAGGGAAATTTGTATGGGGAGAAGGTATTATTGAGGGATTTCCACGTAATCGATTGGTATGGGCCGTTTATCCTTTACCCAGTCTATTTATTGCTTGGTTCTAGCCTCTGTCCATCAGGCACATCTTAAGAGGATAGGATACCTCCTGCAGCGCACGACAGCTGGCACTGCTTCAGTTTCTGGTCCAAGTACTCCGCAAACCCTGGAGTGTTGGAGATGGCTGATTCACTCCCGACATGCAGAAATGGGCGACTCGGAGTATACATCCCATTGGACTGGTCTTTGTGCAGAGGGTGAAACACCAGCATCCAATTCATTGCCTGGGGCGACGGGAGGTTTCAGACGGGTGCTAGGTACGGAGTAGACTTTTTCTTATTAGCTGGCAAAGACCCGATTCGACATGCAATGCTTGACTTTTATCTATGTTGGCAATTTCTTCGCAAAGTTGTGATAGAATCAGTCGAAACAAGGTCATTCCAAAATCAGTCTTTGTTGATCTTCGATACTGACCATAGAAGTTGAGCTTCCATAGATTAAAAATAACTAAAGCCTGTTCGTTTGTAGAGTCACATAATTTTTTAATTCAGGATATTTACAAGCTTCGGGCGTTTCCATGCTTCTGAAGTCTTCAGTCCTTGGATTATCTCTTCTGGACTATAAGTACCTATACATGAGACCTTTCATCATGTGTAGAGTAACCTCATGCTCAAGCTACCATACGGTCCCCTCACAGTACAGTACACGGAATTCCAATTCGCAACCACGGAACACTTTATTCAAGAATTCAATATACAACAGACGCTCAAGGGTAACAGATCAAAGAACACGCTAGGTAGGTATCAGTCTTCCGAATAATACCCGCCTATCATCTCCAACCCGTCCAGCCTCTTGCCTGCACCCCAGATCTCCCCCTTCCGGGGTAGAGACGAAACAGCCTACCGCCTACTAACCGATCCATACAGCAGAATCTGGACTATTTCCCCTCACCTCTCATCCATATCAGCATCCACTCCACCTGAAATAAGGAAGAGAGCACACCGTCCCTATTTACATATAACCACCCGCCAACCCCAACCCCCTCCAAGTCAACTTCAACTACACAGTCTGCTTCTTATATACAGCACATTTCAATCCCCATTCCCATCCCCATCCCACAAGAACCGAACAAAAAAAAAAAGAAAAAGAAAACCAAGATGCCCAAAAAACCCGCACCACCGCCAACAACCACCTCCAAACCCAAACCCAAACCCAAAACCAAACAATCCCCCGCTACAATCCCCCCCAATGCATCACCAACCGCCCAAACAAGAATCCCCTGGCCTCCTCTGACCCCATCCCCCAAGAACCCCTTCTACTACCCCACCAAACCCACCCTCCACCTCCTCATCCCCAACCAAGCCTACATCATCCCGGAATTCTTCCCGGCCCCCTTGTGCAAAACCTACACCACCTTCCTCGCCTCCCTGCCACTGGTGACCACACCGAACAAACCCAAGAAGGGGGACGCGGTGCGCGTCAACGACCGCTTCCAGGTCCAGGATGACGGGTTCGCGGCGCAGTTGTGGGAGTATACCTGCCTGCAGCGGTGTGTGACGGGGAAGACGAATCCGGTGGAGGAGAGGTTGTACTCGTATGATGATGACGCAGAAGAGGAGGGGGCCGGTCAGATCGATCGGGAGGAGGATGATCTCAGCAAGAATGGGATGTGGGGTGGGGAGCCGTTGGGGTTGAATGGGAATATTCGGATTTATCGGTATACTAAGGGCCAGTTCTTTGATAAGCATTGTAAGTTTGATCTGTCTGCTTCTTGCCTTCTGTTGAGGCCGGGGGGGAGGGGGAAGGGGGGCGGCATCAATTGAAGGGATTGGTGATCAAGCGACATCTTAATTAACCTCGTCAACTAGACGATGATTCCAACACCCTTACTTTCAACACGCCAGGGCAATCGGCCAGGCCGGCTCGCACGACATGGACCCTACTCATCTACTTGACGGCTTGTGAGGGCGGAGAGACTATCTTCTACCCGGAGCCCACGCGGAAGGACCGCAACCCCCAGCCGGTCTCAGTCAAACCCGTGCCGGGTATGGCGCTGCTGCATCGACATGGCGAGCATTGTATGCTGCATGAGGGGGCCGAGGTCCGGAGCGGGGAGAAGTGGGTGTTGCGGAGTGACCTGGTTGTTGCGCGGTGAAACCACTTGTCTACCCATCACGACATTCGAGTCAGAAAGCTTCGGGAAAGTACTGTACTCTACCGGAAGTGCTCTACAGGCCTACCACGACTGACCCAAAGAATATGTATCCACCATTGTCAAAGACATATTATGAACAAAGAAAACACCCGGACAGACACCGGACCACACCGGTGCGTCCACTATCAGACACATAAACAGGAGGTTGCATCTGTCTGAAAATCCCATAATGCCGTGGCAAAGAATAAGTAAAAGACCAATGTTTCGCCAATGAACCGGAGGGCAGCTTTTCTTCAACCCCATCTTGCATGTATCTCGGAACCCACATTTCTCCAGGCAGGGCCCAGGAAAAGCATCAAGTACATTGAACAGAAAGATAATAAAACATAACCCCACCCCATAGCACCTTCCCAGTTCGCGTATCCTCGTCTAAAAATGTTTGTATGCTAATCATGACTGGTTTGGCTTCGACTCGTACTCGGCCCGTCTCATAATATCCTCCACGGGACCCAGTAACCGCTTGAAGCCATCGCGACCCAGCCGAGCAACCTTGACCTCCGAGCGGGCAACAATGCTCGCAGCCCGAGGCTTGTCGTCCAGCAATGCCAGTTCACCGAAGTAATCACCACGCTTGTAGGATTTGACGACTCCGTCCAAGTCCTTCTTGAACGCATCGGCTTCACCAGCCTCAAGCAGGTAGAAGGCATCGCCTGGATCACCCTCGCTGATAATGGTCGACCCAGCGGGGTATTTGCTGGCGTCCAGCGCATCGGCAATCTTGGACCGTTCGTAGGGCTTGAGGCTGGACAGGAGAGGCACTTCTTCCAAAAAAGCCTCGTACATACGACGACGCTGGAAGGCCGAATCCATCAGAATGCGGCGGAAGGTGATGCGGTCCAGGGCCCAGAGAGTGCTCTTCGGATCCACGGAGACGACGGTCGCGGCACGGGGAGCATTGTACATGAGAGCCAGCTCTCCAAACGAGCCTCCAGGGCCAATGGTGCTGACTTTGTTGCCCATACCCTCGGCGCCTGGCTGCACGGAGCCCGAAGGGTGGATCAGAACGTCAAAGTGGCCTTCTTCAACGATGTAGAAATAATCTCCCGCATCACCCTGTGAGATGACCTTGATGTCTTTGGCGGGAATAGGCTTTTCCACCAGCGCGTCGAGCACAGTCTTGAACTGATCGTCATCCAAGTGGGCGAAGAGGAAGTTGTTGCTAACGGCGGTCTTCAAGCGTGCGATTTGCTCATCTGATTTGGGGTGATGCGGCGGGGCCCAGCTGTCCGAGCCAGCTGAAGTGGGATTCAACGACTCTGCTGACACCGATGTCCTCCGTCCCAAGGCGTAGTTGTTGGGGAGGCCAGGGTTGGGGACGCCCGTCGGGCGGATGTCGCCTGGTGGGAACTCGTCGGCGGCCTCGTCTTCCTCGCGCGACCCATCGTCGAATGGGCTTCGGGTGTTGAAACGAATGGCACCACCATCACCGAAACCACCGCCCGTGAACAAGCTGTTGCCGGTCGAGGATGAGGCAGCGGCGGGAGCATTGGCGGAGCGAAAAGTCGGATCGGTTGGTGACGTCACCTCATACTCGTCCTCCTCCGAAATCTTGTGAAAAGTGGCGGGCTTGCTGTCGTCTTTTGTGCCCACGCGAAGGGGTTGATTACCCCCAGGAAAAGTGCTCTCGGCCATTCTCTGGAGGAAAGGGCTGGAGAAGGTGAAGTTCCGGCCTGTGTTAAGCGGGGAAATTGGACGCTCGGGCGACCACGATTGCAGCGGCCGCGATGGAGGGGAAGGGCTCGTTTGAAGTAGATCGGGAGCTAAATTTGAGTCGACTGTTGGGAGAGAACAAGACGGATGTCGAGTTTTGGATGGAGAGGAAGGATATAGAAGAGGAGCGGTAGTCATGGGAAAGGTGTAGGAGAGAAGACTGGGGAAAAGAAGGAAAGCTCAGAGAAAAGAGGAGGGGGAGGGGGGGGGGGCGGGGGAGGGGAACAGGGTAGCAGCAGGCTAGTAGCACACCAGCAGCAAAAGCAGCAGCAGCAGACGGAGGGGGGAAGAGCTGAGGAGGGGCGGGTAGAGAAACCGACCAGCCCGATCGCTGAATGAGAATCAAAAGTGACGGATGGTGGTTGAGGTGGGGAAGACTTCAGCGGCACACCAAGGCCTTATTGGATATTCTGGCTTCGAAGCTCGGGAACCTTTCCAGATCGTTTGATCCTTTTGCGTTCGTTGGTTGGTTTGAAGTTGCAGCTTGCCGTGGAAGCTGATGCAAACCGCTTAAAGTTGAGAGATTGAGAGATTATCGGATTCCACTCAAGGAAAATTAAGAGCTTGGCTTGTAGAGGAGTAGGAGTAGGTATAATTTAGGATCTCCAGAGACACAATCGAAACAGTCTAGGAGTAGAATTGTGACAGGAAAGGATGATAGTGAGACGGAGGAGAGAATTAGAAAATTAGGTGTAGTAGTTGCAGTAAGTAAGTAAGTAGAAGTAGGAGGAAGTAAGAGTGAGTAGTGAAGTCACCAGCTGCAAGCTTTGGGAGGGGCACCACCGCTCAACTTAAATCAAGGGTCGCGTGGGAACTTGCCTGCCGGAGATGAACTAATTCTCTAGGTAATCAACTAACTAGTAGGAATTATTACCTACTAGAATTATCACCTAATGAGAAAAGAAAAAGGGGCAAATACTCAAGATGGTGTGTAGCGCGTTATGGTGGTGGTGGTGGTGGTGGTGCGTGTGTGTGGTGGTGCTACCGTCTACGTGATCTAGAGGGGTCGTCGCAGGAAAAAAAATAGGGATCACCCAGAGAAAAAAGGAGGGAGGAAAAGACACGAAACCGCGGGAAGCAGCAGCAGCTCGCTCCATAATCATCTTCAGAATACCCTTCGTGCTCAGAGAGCATCTTCGTGGTGGTCTATCACCTGCTTCCTCTACCTCTACCTCTTCCTCTTCCTCTGCATCGAACTCCCCAGCGTATCTGTGTCTTCGTTTCTTTCCAAGGATTTTACCCACTGTGATGTCTATCAAAGAGAGTGGAACTATCCGATGAACATATTGTCAGTGGACTCCTTATCCAGTCGAGCTAATGGCTTCCATTCTCCTTCTAGAACAATTCAACTCCTTAATCAATCGGGTCTCGCGACTAGCAGCCCGTTGATTCCGTCAATAGCGGAGGTGGCCGGGTCAATAGTCTACTTGAACGACCACAAGAGTGGTTAGAAAGAGGAGGGTGAGTGGGGAAAGCCTTGCCTGTGACCTTCCTCTCCTGATCCGAATCTAAAATAAACCGAAACTCACGACGATGAGAAAAAGGAGACGACGGGGCACCGCAAAAGATGGGGAGGTCAATCCTTCAGCCGGGAACGGAAATGGCGTCGAAGGTTCGCTTTGGTGGCCAAGGGGCTTCCAGATTTCTTCTAGAAACATGGTAATTCATTGCGCCACCAGAGGGCGGGGATAGCTTTGGCACAAGCAGGAGTTGGGTGGGATCCAATTTGGAGGATGTTGTGCAATAATCGACTTGTGATCAACCCCAACCCATCCCTTTTTTTTTTTTTTCGATTTTCTCCTTAATCAGGCGAAGGACATTTCCCAATTTCCATTGAGTTTCTTCTTTATCATCCACTGTTTACCCATCCACTGCTTCCCCACCGTTAGATAGAACTTCAACGAGGTCAACATCTCCTCGACGTGCTGCTGGTGGCAAACTTGTTGTCGAAAACGGTGCTGGTTCCCTTCGGATGATCTGCTCGCTGAGGTCATAGCCTGACAAATCGATGCCATTCATTCAATTAGTCTTTGTTGACGTTTGCTCGGGACGGGCCCCTTTTCTGTATTTTGGGTCAATGGATGTCAAGATGCCATCATGAAGGGGATTTTTGAGATTTTGTCTTTCCAGTGTTGCTGCAAGGAAGTCTTTCCCTTCATCGCACGGCCATGAAGGAGACCATGGATGGTGGATTATTGATTCTGGCCGGGCCCTCCTTCTCGATTCCCCCATTCCATTCCTGACTGAGTTAGACTAGGCGCCGTCACCGTTTTATCTCATTCAGGATCGCCGTTTTTGAGGGAATCATTTTCGGTTTAGTGTGAGAGTCCGTGCTTCCCTTCCCTCCCGAGTCCCGAGTACCATTGACAGAGTGCGATCATGATTCACTGCCTATGTGCATGTATAAGATACCTTCTACATACCTTCTACACACCTAGGTACTCACCTACACACCTACTCACCTACACTATGCGCAGATTGCCTGCCCGCTTCAATTGAATTGATTGCGCGTTGGATTCTGGTTGCCCTGCAGAATCTGGTCACATCCGAGGAATTGGCTCTGGAATGAATGGTGGTGGGGCCAAGGAGCTTGATATTCTGGTGACCTTGATTCTTTCTTCCGATAGGGATGCTCAGGGTGCTTTTATCCTTGGTAGTTGTTTGTGTTAAAGTTTTCCCATGAAAGTTTTGATCCCATACAACAAGTGAAAGAATTCGGTTATCGGAATAATCATAATCGGCGGCGGCAGCGCCTTCCCATGCTTGTAACAAAGGTTCTGATGACTGATAAGACACGCCAGCTGTCAGCACGGGCACGCACAACTTGGCTGAGTTGTACAGGCGAGGAGATTTGTTCAAGTGTCAGCCAGCACGCATCTAGAACCTGAAGGCGGTGATGGAATACGCGCCAACCACTCTTTGACCCTGCGATAGGGATCCGCCAGGTCCCTTGATGTGCTGTTTCCCCCTGGGTAAGGTCACCAATGAAACATACCCCAGTGACTAGTTTAGTTGTCTGTGCTTGGGTTTAGGTGTTCAGTGTTCAGTGCTCAGTGGTCAATAATTATTGAAGTCTATGAGTGAATGAGTGAGTGAGTGTGTGTGTGTGTGTTAAAATGAAGTGTGTGACTGCTGTTGTTGGGTTGTGGCCGCCACCCCGCTCGCTCCAGGCAATCAAGTCAAATCAATCCAATTCGAATTTCCCAGCCTCCTCAACATCGTCATTTTCTCTCCTCTCCTTCTTCTCTACCCTGTCTACGCCCGTACCTACATAGCAGAACCCCTTCGTGGCTACGCAGGAATTTATCTTTGCTTTCTTTACTCTACTGTGTATTCTTGTTTTATTCTCTGGTCTTTTTATGCCGCTTGACCAATATTGACCTGTCTGAAATATTTACCCCCACTGAAAAACCCCGACAACCTACTATTTTTTCCGCATCCACTTCCTGGGCGCAATTTACTCCCCCCTCCCCCCCCCCCCAACCCTCATCTCCACTATAGAAGATGGGGACTTATACGTTTCGATGGTAAGTCACTATTGATCTTACCTTGCGATCAAGAAAATCTCCTTTCTCCAGTGCGAAGCCTGGACCTCCAATGAGCATCTCTTGTGAAGGGTCTATGACAGGTTCTGCCCCGTGCTTCCTACTGCTATTATCCCCGACACTTTCCGGACCCAGCGCCACTGATTTGTGTTCGCTGACCGTTGCGGCCCCTCGCATGGGGAATCAAACCAGGCCGTATAATGCAAACGAAGTGTATGTGACGGGGACATTCGATGACTGGGGCAAGACTGTCCGACTGGACCGCAATGGGGAGGTGTTCGAGAAGGAGGTTGAGCTCCCAGCCACAGAGGAGAAGATCCAGTATAAGGTAAGAACTTTTTTCCTCCGATCACTCTCTCTAGCTTTGCCCTGCCCAACCTCTTTCCCCCCCATTTCCCCATTTTCCTATTGTCCCATAACTCGAGACGGACTGTTCCTTCACCGGGCGGCGGAGGATTACGTGCTGGGCTGATCGCCCTTATCGAGGGACGGGTGATGACGCTCGGTGGGTTGCGCAGAATCGCGCTGACGTCATGGCACGGCCGTCGAGCCCGCCCCGTCACTGGTTTTCAAACTATAAGACTCGCACAATTGTTGGTTTGCGCCATCAGGAGATCCACTAACTGACTTTGTATCTTTTCTTCTCGTGATTAAAGTTCGTCGTCGACGGTATCTGGACCACTGATAATCGCGTCCCCGAAGAAGACGACGGCGACAATAACATCAACAACGTGCTCTACCCCGATCAAATCCAACAACCACCACTACAGAACGGCATGGCCGGTGTAACCCCCGATTCAACCACCGCTGCTTTGGCGGCTGGGGTGCCTAAGGAGTCCAGCAGCAAGACAAATGGCTATCACCCCACCATCTCGTCAGCAGCACCAGGCTCGACAACTGCCAAACTCGGCCAGGAAGTCCCATTGGAACAACGGGCTACTGTGCCAGGATCCTTTCCAATCACTCCCGGGAGCGAGGCTGAACAGTTCTCCGTGAATCCCATCCCTGCATCCAGTGGCATTGGCAACCCGATCAAGTTGGCTCCAGGTGAGAAGGTGCCTGACCCCAGCACTTTCAACCCCAACACCGTTCAGTCCACCGCACGTCTCGACAAGGGTGCGTATGAGCAAGGCGCCAGTCTTTCTCGGACTGAAGATTCGTTGCAGGATGGCAGTGCTTTCTCCCTTCCACCTGTAACGAAAAACACCATTCCTGAGTCAAGCTTGCCTATGGGCAGTGATGGGGCTCATGATGTCAAAGACCCCGGCTATACGATCCAGTCGGCTGCGCCCACGTCGACAACGGCGACACTTGCTGCTGCAGTGCCCCTGGAGTCTCAGAAGCAGAAGCAGGCGACCGGTGATTCTCCCTCTGAGGAGCTTCCAGGCGTGGTTAAGGAGTCCCTTGAGAAGGCCCACCAACATCCCGAATGGGCTGCCAACGAGGAGGTCGTCGAGGAGAAGAAGGAAGTGGAAGAAGAGCTTCAGCAGAAAATCAGCGTGAACAATTCTGTTGGCACCCCAGCGCCTGCTATAAGTGCCGCTACTGCGGAGACTGCTCCCCGTGCTACTGGTGCTGAGCCTACAAACCAGCCATCCTCTAAGGCGAAGGGACCAGTCGATGGACCAGTGGTGACCACTGGTGTCGATTCTGCGAAGGCTCCAAAGGAATCTGGACCTGGCCCTATCCACGGTGCTTCTCCCTCTGTTCCTGCTGCCGGTGCTGTAGCCACCTCCAACCAACTGTCTCCTAAGGTCTATGACCCAAGTGAGCCAACTGTTACCACGGGCGTCGATTCTGCGAAGACCCCGAAGCAGTCCGGCCCCGGCTCAGCCGAGGACTCTTCTGCCGCTGCCCCTACTGCAGGTGTGACTGGCTCCAGTGCCACCAAGACAGCAGACTCAGCCGTCGATGTCGGATCAGCCTCTGCCGCTGGCGATGCTTCCGGCCCTACTGCTGGCGTCACGGGCTCCAGCGCGACTGGAACTGCCGACGACTTGGAGACCAACAAACCCTCAGAGCCCAAGCAGCTCGCCGAACCTAGCAAGTCCAACAAGGCCGACGTAACGTCTGCTCCAACTGCTGGTGCTACCGGCGCTAGCGCTACCAAGACGTCCGATTCAACTCCGGCTACCGCTAACACCAACAAGGATGCATCTACGCCGGCTCAGAAGACCGATGCTCCTACCAGCATTAACAACACCACTACTCCCGCCAACAAGACCACCAACAACGCTGCAGCTGGCGCAGCCGCCAATTCCAACAAGGAAGAGCCGAAGAAAAAGAAGAAGGGATTCTTCTCCCGCCTCAAGGAGAAGTTGAAGCATTGAATACATTAATTAATGACTGAGCTGAATCAGCCTATGGATGGGTTGATTTTTAACTAATGGTGTATAATGGGTGGAAGATTTCTATTTTCGTTCTTCATGCTTCTGTGATTATCGTCTGGATACCTTTTGTGTTGTGTGATTTTCCTTCCATTCGTTCGCTGCCTTAGGTCCTATAGGTAGGCTTATGGTTACGTATCACGAATCAGTTCTATGATTTATGCTGTAATGAGCATTCCTCACTTCCACTCAGTCCAGTCTGATATGAAGTACATCAGATATGATGTTCAAGTGAATATATTATCAATTATGATTAACATCGCCCATCCACTTCTATCATGAACCCCTCCAACCAACCTCAGTCCTGAGTAAACCATGAATACCTATATCGGTATGGCATTACTAACGATCCCATTCACCTTGACCGGATACCCCAGCACACTGAATTGGACCGGTTAGCCCACTATCATCTTCCCTCGGAGAGTTCGTCTCAATAGAAGAGGCACATACTCTTTCCCCGTCTTCGTCAAACAACACCCGCAGAAGATCGATGCCGGGTAGCAGACCACCTGTATTGGAGCTTAATTAGAATCCCAATGCCTATTCTCCCCTTCGACTGACTCTCTCTCCTTCCAGATACAAGTAGAACCCAACGAGGCGATGAAGAAAAGGGAGGAGACACATACAGCAGCTACAACCGTACAGATAAATCCTAAGCCCCCACGGAACAGGATCAATCCAGTCAGCGAAACGGAGCCCAAACACCACCGAATTGGTTTTCTGGGACAGGATAAGGATATACCTAAGGTTGGCCCGACGACTTTACAGCGGCAGGGGTTCTGGTCGGTGCCGCATTGGAAGCAGATCGGGAGGATGGGGAAGAAGGGGACGTCGCACATTTTTCTTCGTGGCCTTTATCTTTTGTGTCTGGTGTGGGAAGGAGAGGGGTGGTGCCTGGCGAGAGGGGGGATGAGGAAAAGAGATGGATTGGGTGAGGTTGCGCTGGATGGGGATGCGCCTGGTCGTAAGTATTATTCTTGTGCTGGCTGTGTACATTACGGTACTGTACCTGATTGATGCCTGGCGCGATTGCAACCTGTGCAAGTTCTAGTTGAGTTAGCCTTGCTTGTGGTGATGCGTTGCTGTGTGTTGTTGCTGCTGCTGTGTGTGGTGTGGTCGTGGTGGTGAGGTAATGTGGAAAGCATGATTCATTATGACGACAGTCTGGGGTTGTTGCATTGGAATCATGAAAATTGAGGTAGCATTGGGTGTATTACCGAATTATTTTGATTTGTATGTGGCAATCAAGCTGTATCTAGTTGGATATCATCTGATTTCGCAGGGCTGGTGTTGAAGAATCGTATTTGTGGTGCTTAGGCAGTGGTGGCTGTTGCTCTCCGCTAGTCAAGGATGTTATTTCCTGTGGCCGAATTGGGCCTTACTGTACCTTGCATGCCCATCCTTCGGAACAATCCGATTGCTAGTCGCAAGTGTGTCTATTTATTTCTTGGATCAAATTTCGTTCTTATGAGTCTTTAGACCTTCTTGTACATGAATGTGTACATACAGTGTAATAGTATACACACGAGTTGGGACACCATCCTGGACCGTCAACACTGTATATTTAGTAGTTCTACTCCGTACATGCAAAAAAAACCCGCATTCGCCTGCGAGCCAGACCTACAACCCTAACGCCTCTCAGGGTCCATGTTGACATGCTAGCATGTTGATTATGGTCGCAAGCCACACCCCACAAAGTCGTCTCCCATAGAATTATATCAGCACCCCCGCCCCGGAACCACCAGGCACAAGCTCCGCGCAGCCGGCTCGACCCCAAACAGAACCACTCTACACGCAAGTAGCTAGCGAGGAAAAGTGTTTAGCATCTGAGCAGGTATTCTAGTCTTGCTGGGGCTACTGGTGACTCTCTCTCTCTCTCTTGCTCGAATCACAAGCGAGAAAGCGTAGTATACATCAGGCGAAGTTGTGATCCAATCGACCGTGTGCTTCGCCAAATCCGACACGATTGCTCGAACTACCCACTACATCATACCAAAACGGAGAACATGACATTCACCGTGAGTTTCGAGGATAGACTTTCATCCAGATGGTATTCAGCCGTGGGCCGCCTGAAAATCGCAGACCTCGTGATGAGAGACATGCTTCTGTGGGCCATTGGCAGGCATATAGATTGTGATCAGATATCCGACATCATGGACGTGAATCTCCTCAGGTGTCAATCTGTCATGAAGCTCAGTTGCAAGAGTTGATGTCGTCCTGATTCTGATGCGGCGTTGGCATATTATCAATCGATGCTAGCTCATGAATTAGCCGATAGGCGAGATCAGGTATGTATTGATGCAATTCATGACACGTCTCTGCGTTATCCCGATTTGCAATCTCAAGCTCTTGTAGACTGTATCTGGACCTGTGCGATGTGCACAAATGATGCTTGCCTCAGCACACAGAACAACAAGCAGTTCTAGCAAAGCAGCCATGGAGTTTGTGCAGCAGTCTATGCATAGATCCCAGTCATTGATAAAACAGTTACCGTGTCTGGACTGCACAAGGGAGGGAGAACAGGCTGAAGCGGATAATCTCAGTCGATAGGCAACAAACAATCCACACGGATACAATGCCCAAGTCAGCCCCCTCACCCTCTCCTGACTTATCTCCGAGGTCACATAAAATTAACTAGCCGTTTGGCCCCCTCCCTCCCTTCCCCTCAATTAACACGCAGACAGGCCAAGTAGTAAGCAACGAACCGAACCGGTCACTCCGCCTCTTTCCCAATTATTACTTCAGTAAAAGAGATTGCGCAACATCCAAGATACCAAAAATAACCACAATTCATTTCCACCTATTCCAGAATGAACTGCGCCTTGCACCTGTAGAGAAAAACAAAAAAAAAATGAAGCCGGAAATCCAGGCACCAGAATTTCCCCAGCGCTTGGCGCGAGGCTTGGCAGCGACCGGTGGTTGGCCCTACAGGGCGCATAAGTTATTATTTGGGACAGAATTGGAGGCAAGAACCGTAGGTGCAGTTCCCCATGCATTCTTTTTTTCATGCGTATATAAAGGATTACTCGGGGGTCCATTTTTTGCTCCCACGTACAGAGATTTTCATATTCTCACACTCTATTCGAAGACATACTTCTCCCGAGTACGGAGTACTGTACCTTGATAGCTAACGATCCCACCCACTCCTCCCGGCCAACGGCTAGACCTACCGAAACGAACCGGTTGATCGGCCGAACAAAGAACAAAGTGATTGGGGATTGATTATTACATCATTCATCACCCATCGACCCATTCCACGATCGCAAAACCAGCCCTACGCATTTTCTCTCTCCTCTCACCAACAGTCGACAATACACCTTACACTGCATCACACCGTTACTAGCCAGAGTACAACAACACTACATCACCTCCATCCATCCATATTTGATCCTCATTTATTTACACACCAAAACCCCTCAACCAACCAGGGAAAAGCATCCCCATCGTCCAAGCGATCGGACCCCTCACATCACATCACAACACACCGCAGTCCGCCTCCCCTCCTTAGGAAAACAAAAATGACCGCCCGCCTCACCCCCCTCTTCATCCTCCTGGGCGTCCTCCTCGTCCTCGCCGGCATCGGCTACGTCGCCTACTCCATCGTCCAGGACGTCTCGCGCCACACGCGCTCCAAGATGGAAGGCAAGAACGTCCTGGTCACCCGCGAGGGGATGAAGGTGGGCGTCCGCGAGGTCAAGGAGGAGGAGTATGTGGATCGGAGTCAGAGGTTTGTTCTTTCCTTTCCTTTCTCCCCGTTCGAACCCCCCGGATAGCGTGGTTTCTTTTTCTTTTTTTTTGGAAAGAATCCCCTGGCTAACAAGCTCTTGGTGGCGGCGGCGGACAGCATCCTCGTCAACATGTGGAATCACACCTCGTTCCCCGCGTACAAGAGTCGCTTCTGGGATATGACCAAGCCTACCAATTGGGGGCAGGAGAGTCGGGTCGCCGAAAGTAGTAAGCGGAAGTGACTGACTGCCCTGGCGAGGCGGATGAGGGGTTGGAGGGAGCAGCAGCAGCAGCAGCAGCAGCAGCAGGAAAAGAGGTGTCGTGCTTTTGAGCGCGCAACAAGATGAATAACAGCATCGCGCTTTGTACTCTAAGATGGGTATGCTTAGCTTTACCTTGCCTTGTATAAGGGAAGGGTGGATGATGTATGCATTATGCTGACCCTCGCTACCCTTTCTCTCCCGAAAGGAGTGCGAGGGCGTTAACGAGATATGATCGTTATGATACATTGAGTCAAAGATAACATGAACATTTGTTTGGAATTAGCTCTAAACCTCATTCATACCCGCCGTGTAGTCTTTTTGGCCGTCATCCCGCGGCTCGTATTTACATATTCTCATAATAGTCGTAATCCTGGTTCAACTTGTAGAACGGGTCCGGCTTGGGCTCGTTGCTGCCCCCGTACCAGGTCGGCGTCGTCAGCTTCTCCGGGGTATCCTCCCGCTTGGTGTCGGTGAAGAGGTACTCGAAGGTCTTGGCCCACTGCACCCGGTTGTTGAGCCCGTCCAGGTTCCACAGCTCCTGCAGGAAGTGCAGGATCGAGGTGTGGGTGTACGCCGAGTTGTTGGCGTAGCTTGTCCCTTGGTCGTGGATCAGGTGGTTGGCGGGGACCCAAGGGGAGATGAGGAACGCGGGGACACTATCGTTGTTCCTCCGAGTTAGCCAAAGCACAGTGGTAATGAGGGGATGAAGGAGGACTGTAAAAGGTGGGCTTACCGAACACCCAATCGAGTGTAATCGTAGGTTACGTTGTGGCCGTCCGACACGCCGGAGAAAGTAATGCCATCCTCGGGCTGGGGAATATTGACAGGGGTGGGGACGTGGTCGGCGAAACCACCGTGTTCGTCGAAGTTGAGGACAATCAGACTAAATCGAATTGTCGCTGTCAGTGCTGGGAAGGCCATGGGAGACAATCGGGGTCCTTACACATTGTCCCAGTACTTCGACCTGCGCACCGCATCGTACAGATGCTTGATCAGCTGCTCGCCCGAGGCCATGTTGCTGGTTGGGTGCATGGAGTCGATGGTGCAGCACTCCGGGTTGTAGTAGGAGAACTGCGGGAGAGTGCCCTCCTCAAGGTCACGGTAGAATTGGTCGGAGTGAACCAGGCGGTCCATGGCATTGTCTTGCACCCACTAGAGAGCGGTAAGTATGCGAATCTGGAGTGACTGCGGGAAATTAGCATTACCTTGTACATGAAAGCATCGACAATGTCGGTCTCATAGTACTGGAAGAAGACATAAGCTTAGTTGATGTCCATGGTACACATCGGACGGTTATAGCTCACGTTCTTCCATGTGATGTTCTTCTGACTGAGCGACTCGAAGATCGAGGTGGCACACGTGGTACCCGTGTAGTTGGCATACCATCCAGCAGATTGGTAAGTGTTATCCACCATACCACAGGTGGAGCCCGAAGTAGCAAACTGACGGTTGGGGTTGGTAGGACCGGGGTGCTCCGCGTGCTGTTGCCCGTTTAGTACATCTAGACAGGCAAGACGCTTTGCAGAAGACTCACATAGCTATCCCAGAAGGCGAAGTTCTGGGCAACTTCCGCCAGAGTCGCCGTTTTCTTCTGGTCGTACGCCTTGATGACGAAGCTGGATTCACCGGGCGTAGCACTGTACTTCTCCGACTGACGTTCAATGAATCCACCCATGTTGGGAACATCATCCTTGGTGACGTTCCACTTGCGGAAGATCTCGTAGGTGACACCCGCGAAATTGTGATCCGGGTCAGTCAGGGGTACCTCGGTCTCAAATGGCGCCGCGCAGACGTTCAGAGGTTCACCCCAGACCGTCCAGTTGGGGTTCGTGTACTCGTTGCAGTAGTCGATGTTGCGCAAGTTGTCAATGTCCGGGTGAAAGTCCCAGTAGCCCGCAATGTTGTCGAAGGAGTGGTTCTCCAACATCAGATAGATAACATGTTTGATCTGCCCCCCAAGTCAATCAGATGGCTGCAGGAGACACAGGAAACCCGGGAGCGAAGGTCCAAACCTACATTGGAGCGAACTTGATTCCACTGTGCACTGTTCCGCCTGTGGGGAACCGCGGTGGCCAGAGTAGCCAAAGCTGAGATCGTAGCCACGCTCAACTTCATCTTTGTTTGCGTTCAGTGTCTGCCGCTGCTCTTCGCCCAGCTTCGTTCTGGATCTTCAGATTCCAGTTCCTATCTTTTCCTGCCGGAGGAGGGGCAGCGAGGTGCGATATTTATCTTCTTTCTCGCCCCTCTTCTCCCCTCACCACCCCCTAACTTCCCACGAGGCAGAAACTAGCAGCGCATGCCGGCTGCTTCGGCACACACCGACATCCTGCGGAGATAGGCAGGTCCACACGCGACATTATTCGAGTAAGTCGTGCCGGTTTGTCCCAGGAACAGGATTTTTCCTTCTCTTTCTTTTCAGTTGCGATGATTGTTGAGAATGACCATGGCCAATGGCACGGGACGATGGTCTGCACGCTGTGGAGTTGATTGCTAGCTCGCGTGAGACAGTCCACATTCGCAGCTAGAATGAGGAGATAGATAGGTATGGTCCGGATGCGCTCCGCTGCAGTTGGAGAATGAGGGGGGATGGCCGTGAGAGTCGACACAGGCGTGGGACAGAACAGAACCGTGCAGTTGGAGGTCGCGATTGCGAGATGTGCATCAGCTGCTCAATTGATTGGTCTCGATCACGGGAGGAGAAGACTGGGAGGACGACTCTAGCCCGGTTCAATGCCCCGCTTGCAAGGAACGGACGGGTTGAAGAGGGTGAAGAGGGTCAAGAATGTGCGTGCTTAGTGGGTAGTAGTACAGCAATTGGTCCTCTGCAGCGCGCATCGAAGGCGGCGTAATTGCAGCGTGATTGCAGCGTGCTTGTTTATTGCATTAGAACTGCATGCGACTTGACTCGATGGATGGATGGAGGTGGTCTAGAAGAGTGCGGTGGAAGAAGTGCACCTGTGGGTAGCGAACTTATTCCTAGCAGATCCACTTTAGACCGTCGATTAGGAAATAGTCGAGTGTGATTGGCTAGAGTGGTCCAAGCTTCAGGTACTCCGCAGCCCCAGTGGGTCGAAGGCTGCATTGTCCCGGGGGTCGAGGCCAATCAGAACTGCACGTGCCATCCCCGCGACTGCAGATGACCGCCAGACTGTGAGGCACGTTGTCCCTCACTCTCCTTCCATAGGCCTTCTCATACCGGCACATGGCCGCCGATACCTTGTAGGTAACCAGGCACCTTACCTACTACAGATGCTCGCTGAATGTGAGTGGAAGATGAGCATGATAATGGGCACGAGGGGTATTCTTCCTTCAGCTTGTTAGACATGCTCTTTTCCTCTTTCCCCCTCAGCTTCGACTGACGCCTGTCGCTCAAACCATATCTATGACCGACGGGCCCCGGCCGGACGTCTAATCTCGCCAGAGCTCACTCTGATCCATAGGACATTACATTGCATTGCCTTGATTTACTCCCCTATCGCTCACTTTTCGGAGCTGGACCACAAAAATCTCCTTTTCTTCGTCTCTTGCCCACCTTCCAAGTTCAGCAAAGACCCGTCGGGCGACTATTCTCTCCCTGTGGATATATTAATACCGACCTCTGTCACACCGGCTACAATCTATCACATCAGGTCTCCAGCATTGATTCAATTCGAAGCGAATTTTCTCTTCCCTCAGACAGACGCACACACACAGCAAAGATGTCTATCTCCTCCATCAAAGGCTTGCTATCCAGCTATTCCCCCGTCTCCGAATTCTCCCCAGAGCATGACCTGGAAAAAGAATATCCTCTCTCCCTGCGACACGAGAGCGATAGCGAGTCCACAGCCGGCTCAAGCAGCTCAGTATGTCGGGAAGGAGCGGAGAAGAAAGAGTCCAAACTCATCGACGGACGCATCGTCTCCGACGCCATTATCGGTCTCTCCGACGGCATGACGGTGCCATTCGCCCTCACCGCCGGTTTATCAGCGCTGGGTGACACTAAGGTGGTCGTTTTTGGAGGCATGGCCGAGCTCATTGCAGGCGCTATCTCCATGGGGCTGGGCGGTTACTTGGGTGCAAAGAGTGAGGAGTAAGTAATGTACCCACTTTTCTTTTTGGTGATTTACTTCCCGTCAATGTGTGAGGGGGCGAAAGGGGCGGGGAGGAGGCGATTGAAGCGGGGTTCGATGTGCGTCGAAAAGATAAGACCACCAAAAAAAAGCATCAAGCTAACATTTGGGTCTTTCCCTTTTTCTTCTTGACAGGGAGTCTTATCGCGCAACATTGAAAGAGACCAAAAAAGAAATCCAGAATGACCCCGCCTCAGTGACTGACACCATTGCCGATGTCTTTGCGCCTTATGATCTCCCTTCCGAATTGGTGGGGGAGCTCACGCGACACCTCTCCACCTCCCCCATGCTCCCTTCCTTTCTCATGAATTTCCATCATACCGTCCAGGAGCCGTCGGGGTCGCGGGCCTGGGTGTGTGCCCTAACCATTGCCTTGGGGTACTTCATCGGTGGGTTTGTGCCGCTCCTCCCGTACTTCTTTGTCGGACCCCATGGCGCCTTCTATGCCCTGCAGTGGTCGATCGCCACGATGGTGGTCGCTTTGTTCCTGTTCGGATACGGCAAGACGTGCTTTGTGAGTGGGTGGAAGGGATCCAGGAACATTCGGCGAGGACTTATCGGAGGCTTGCAGATGGTTCTGGTCGGAGGAGTTGCGGCCGGGTCAGCGATGGGACTGGTGAAGGGGTTCCAGATGCTGGCAGACGCTCATCAGGGACAACATGATCACCATTGATTCCTCTCTCTTTCTGTTGGCGTTATACTTCTGTCTTTTTTTTCTTGGGCGTTCAAGCGGGCTACAAAATGGGCGATTTCAACATGCATTGGATGATACCGGGCTATGGCTGACTGACTGTAGATTCCATAGATGGGTTATGGCATTGGTCAGCATGGATTTTGAGAGTAGAATGAGTACACCGAGTACATAGCTCTTGTGATTAGAATGAACAAATAAAGGAGTTTGACAACTCTGGTCACATATGGCATGCCAAGTGCAATGTAAGCCCGCACCAGCACAGCTTGCAAGGCACCGAGTAAGAAAAAAAAAAGGCAATGCACCGTACCTGAAAGCAATAGCCCTCTGGTCGAAATGAAGCCTCCAACCTGTTCGACATCACTTCCACAATAAAATACTCACTCACGGAATAAGGTACCTAGGTACTGTACTGTACACATCGCATAACTCCGACGAACCACCCCCCAAACCATGCGCAGCCAGCCCAATGACAGCCCACAGAGGACCCGTCAGGCTACCTTCGTACACACCGAGCATGACATTCTTCAACGCCTGGCCTCGGCTGTGCCAACAGAGCGTACCACCCAGCAAGTGTGAAACTAGGTATGTACATACATTCCAGCCCGTCACGAAACGAGGGTGCACTGCCACAAGCTGGCGCCTCAAAAATGAGCCTCACGCCCCCCCCCCCCCCCCCAGCCCCTTCCAGCCTTGCCAAGAATTCCGGCCGGCGATCAGGTCTAGGAGAATGTGGGGTAGGAAAGGTATTCGGCGGAATTGTACGAGTATGAAGTACCACGTATATGTATGTGGGCTTGGGGCTTGGTATGTGATTACTGGATGTGTTGGGCGGTGTGGATCTATGATTGTCTTTTGCGAGTGGACTTGTGGGAGGGGGCAATCACTGCTGCTGCTGCTGCTATTTTTCCATTGAAGACAATCAAAACAGGGAGGGGGCAGGGGGATGCGAAATTGTCTGTATGGATGGAAGAGATTAAACCTTCACAACACATAGACTTACAAACCTTATGAGCTCACGTACTTATACCAATGCACAATGCAGATCAATGTCTTGAGTTCATTATGACTTATGCATTGTGATATGCACAAGGAGGTGATCTTCGAGAGCGACAGAGTTGAGAGAGAAGGTTAAATGAGGGTTTATGCAACATGCTGGAGGACCCCCCCTTCTTTCGGCCGGCAAAGCTGGGCCGAGGCAAAGCGAGAAATGGCAGTGGGATTCAATAGCTAAACATTCAAACAAAGCGTGACTGCAGGGCAATGCGGCATGACCTCATTGTTCTGATGGGTCTTAAGTACACTAGTTACTGATTGCCCGACGGGCACGAGGGCATCAGGTGATCGAGCGAGCTGCAGCTTTTTTCTTGTTCTTGCATGATGAAGCCCCATGCAATAATGCATGGGGCACCCCCATAACTACTCATACGAGTACTAATAAGTGTATGTGACTCCTGCTGTGGCAAGCGGTGAGGTCAAGAGCAGTAGAATGTAACCAGCAGATTCGACATCCACGATGCTGCTGTCACTTGGAGATCTTGTTGTAGGAGGATCTACGGAGACCATTGATGTCAATCATGAACAAAGAGTCGAGATTCTAGAAGGAAAGAAGGACGAGAGGCGCAACGATCCGAATCCGGGATCGATCCATGCTGTTTTGTGGCTCTCCCGCTCTGGAGTGGGTTTTCTGCCCCGTCACTACTCCGTACCGTCACTGCCGTCACTAACTACTCGATGATGTCCGATGATGTCGATGACCCTCGCTCTCTCAGTCTCTCACTTCCCCGTATTCTGCTTCTTGGTTCCGCCCCGAAAGCAACCGTCCATGATGCAACGAGTTTGAGTCTGGTACAGTACTCTGTTACTGTACCTCTGGTTCGATACGAGAAAGAGGTACGAGTAATTCCAGGCTTGCAAAAGGGATGAAATTACATGCTATATGAGTAGTATGCGATCGGCTTTCCAAGCCACAACGTTGTCCTGCTTGGCCCAAGCTCTCTGCTGACCTTCAACACAGCCCAGTGCCCACCACCACCCCGTCCCCATCGAATCCACTCTTCATGCCAACAGGCAACAATAGTCAAGGGCTCGGCATCGTAAACTACGGAGTATTAGATTTGCTAGGATCAAACATGCCCCCCTCCCTTCTTCTGTGGTGCATACAGACGAACGAAAGGGGGAGGGGAGGGGAGCGTGAGCAAAACGAATACGAGGGAAATCCCCCAAGGATCATCTCCCGTAGAACCACGTTTTGATGATCCGACGCATTGTACAGTACAATCTCCCGTAGGTAAGGCGCAGCAACGAGGAGCAGCAGCAGCAGCAGCAGCAGCAGCAGCAGCAACAACATTGGCTCCGTTAATTTTGATGGAACATACCGGTCGGAAATTTGCTCCAGTGTAAGCCCCAGCTCATCTAGTGTAAATGTGGTAGGCTTTTGGGGGTTGTGTAATGCTCCCGTACGACGGAGATTCGAGGCTGATGGATGCTCAAGCAGTGCTGCCTGTTGAGGCTGGGGGAGAAAGAAATGATAGTCGGTTTGGACTGCAGGATTTCCCTTCTTCACCCTTTAATTTCAATTTCAAAGAAAGTAACAAACACCACGCGTAACCGTCGTCAGCCATTTTTGTTCTACTCAGTAAGCAATACACAAGAATAGATAGATGGAGGATAATGGGGAATACTGCATCTGGCTAGGTAGACCCAGAAAGCATTGCCTGTTGGCGCCTGAGCAGTTTGCCTATTCCAGGTGACTGGGACTTGTACCAGCCCCGGTCGGAATCGCGAGAATCAGCCGAAATGTACTGGACAATTAAGTAAGCGGATCGGGAAATCGTCCGCATGAGGCAGAGAGCCTGGGGAGAGAGAGAGTTGCAGTCCGATCGTGCGCCCCCCAGTCACAACGTTGCGATGAGGAGCAGCAACAGCAGCAGCAGCAGCTGTAGCCACAGCAGCTGTGGCACTAAAGCCAGGGCAGGCACAACTCATTATGATTAATTTGGGGCGGAAGTCATGATGACGCTGCCTTGCCCATATACAACACAGCCCAACTAAGTCTAAGTCACGGTCAATGCAGCGCAGACCCTCCAATCTGCTGATCCAGCTGCTATGAGCTTGAACAACTAAAGCAGCCATCACAAACACGATAGTTTCAAATCAGGCGCGTGCTTGGGTGCATTAATGCTCTCGGATGCAAGAATGATCACGGCAAGCCGCACGACCGGACGAGGTGATCATTCGAGGGACCTGGGAAGGGAAAGGGAACAGGAATTGGTATGTATCGTATACACGCTGTACCGTACCAGACCGTAATCCACGGGGCTCAGAAGAGCAACTTCCGTTTCGCTCCATCCCGCTTGCTCTCGTGTGGTGAGTGTTCAACTAGAGGAAGGAGACTGACTAAGTGTCTAATAATTCGTGACTAGACTGTTGCTTAAACACTCTAGACCTGCATATCATTTCTCCAGCCCTCGACCCTTTTGTTGCCATGTTGCCTAATTCCAATTCATAGATCGAAATCAGGGGAAGGAGAAAAGGCTGTCTGTTGCTCAGGGGCGGGCTGCGAATTGTGATATTCAGGAGGATTGGGGATTTTGTTGTGCAATCAACCAATCCTCCTGTTTTGTCCTTTCCCCAGCTTTGGAGAGGCTCAATGCGACCAGGAAAAACGCAACAACAGCTGTCATCTGGGATTGATGCACCTGGCGCGTGGTCAAATCTGACAGGCGACTGTTTCGAGTTGAATGGGCGGAAGTGGCTGGGAAAGAGACAAGAGGTGCAGTTTTCTTGTTGCTTCGCTCTTGTACTAGGTAGTTAGCTGTCATCTCGTCGTCTCGTTGGCTGATCGTCATAAAACCACCCCATCACATACATGTACCTATCAATCTGGACGCTGCGGCGGCTATTGTCCGAGCTGAGCCCTCGTTAACTTACTGCAAGAGGTAAGCAATACGACCGCGGATTCTCTATCCATCACATTGTGCCCTGGGCCTGTCGCGGGAGCACCGGCGGTTAGGTCCTCCGATCGTTATCCATCAGATTAACCAGCCGGTTATCCGCCTCCTAAGATCGTGCTTGTCGATATGTAGGGTCCATCAGCATCTACATATATCATCAACCGAGGCCTTGCGGTGAGAGAGACTTTTGTCAACATCTTTTTGGGTCCGGATGCCGGATTGCCGGGGCCCGATCCATCTGGTGCCTGATTATTAGACACATGTGGATGGGGGAAGGGTGGGATAATCCTCGGGCCTCAACAAACATACGAGGAAATAATCAATAAATCAATAATGATCAGTAATTATGCGCCAAGCGGAACAATTGTGACCAACCAGACTGACCGCAGGCGGAATCGGTGAATTTCTTTGACCGATTTGTGAGACCGTTGTGGATTAAGCGAAATTGGAGATGGGAGATCCACTGCTTCCTGTTGGTCGGCCGTGAATCTATCTATGGGGACCACTGGGTTGGGCACATCGCGGAGGACGTGAGAATGGCTGGGTTTGTTGTTCTTGAAGCAAAGCAGAATGCTTCTTTACTTCTATCTGAGACCTACAGATCGGAGTCAACCATCGTCAGTACTCCGTAGAAGGGACCAGAGTCAGAGTTATAGTAGTGTCTAACTGTCGCATACCTGTCTGCGCACAGCTCTCCTACTGCACCGCGTCAACTTCTTCTCCGCATGCTCAATTTATATTGAGTTGGATGGTTGTGAAGATGACAAGCGACTATTCAGGAACCGGAATCAACTAGCTTTGGTCGAGGCGTGCTGTGGTGGTGCTGTGGTGGTGCTGTGGTGGTGTAGACTATTGTTAGCTTCAAGCCCGCCCCGATCCGTAGTTCGGTATTTGCGGTCTCCGTCTTCCGAGCAGAAATTTTCTGCGTTGATTTTTTTTTTTCTCTTTCCTTTTTGGAATAGGCAGCGACCCTGGTTTCTCAGGCACTTCCGAGGCTGACCACCGAAACTAAACACTAAAGGGGTATGGGCGGTAAAATTAAACGCCTTGAAAGTGCTAGGACACGGCCAGTGGTGACGACATGATACGGGGCCAAACTGGTAATACGAGTACGACATTACTGCCTTACGGCGTACCCGTCGTGGTCCGTCGCCCCGTCCAAGTCCCAGTCCCAGTCCCAGTCCCAGTCCCAGTCTCACCTTCACTCGCTCGCTCGCTCACTCAGTACTACTAGTACTACTACTCATCCCCAAAGCAAAACCACCTGCAAAATCCTCAGATTCCCCGTCTCATTGTTTCCTCCTCTTCCTTTCTCCTCTTCTCTTCCTCTTTACTACAACCCTTCTCTGCCTCTCTTCCTATCCACCTATTGTCTCTCTCCTACTCTCTCCTCTGTTTATCCTCCCATCCCTCCGGTTCCCGCGGCCATCTTTGCGCCCCTCGCGACTAATCTCCTCGTTCTCGGTCCACTGTCTCTCTATCGCCCTTACTGTTCGTCCGCCTTGCGTCAGAGAAGCCCTTGCCAACGTGACCTCCCCGAACATCCTCGTTTGGCCGCTGGAGACCGGAGCCCGCGCTCCCCACGTCGTTGCTATAACTCAATTTCAATTCTCCGCTTGTCGGAGCAAACTAGCAGCGATCGAAACGTTCTGTTCCAGGGTCCTTTCTCCCTTCGACTCCTGTCTGTCACGTTGACGCCGAGACAACACCACGCCATCCCCTCCCCTTTCCCGTCAGCTTCGCCTCGAACCTCTATCCTTTACTTGCGCCTTGGCCTCTGGCAACTTCGCACGACGAACACAGAAGAGATTCATTCGGCCATTCCATAGAGTCTCTTCGTTCCGAGACTAGCCGCCGAGATGAATAGTTCCCTTCCTTCGTGGAAGGACCGCACGCAGAACCAGTTCGGCAAGCTTCAGATCCAAGTACCATGGCGCTCTATCCAATTGCTGGTCCCGCATCGCATGCGACGGAAGATTCGTTCGAAGCTGCGCAGCAGGCTTTCTCCGACCTCATCGATTTCAACACTGCAGACCTCCTTCTCGCCCGTCGATACCCTACGGTCACTGCAAAGCCATCGGTGGACACTATATGACTTCCAGTATTTGCTCTTGCTGATCATCGGGATCTTCTCCCTCAGCATGATGGGTGCCCCCGGTCCCTTGGCCAAAACAGCCGTCTTCACGCTACTCCTGATCTCGCTGCTGCTCCCGATCACCCGCCAATTCTTTCTTCCTTTCCTGCCCATCGCGGGTTGGCTTATCTTCTTCTACGCCTGCCAGTAAGTGCACCTACAGGTCTTGGCCCTGCATCTGGCACCACCAGACGGCGAACAATGACTGACTTTTCCCGCTATAGGTTCATTCCAAGTGATTGGCGCCCTGCGATCTGGGTCCGCGTGCTTCCGGCCCTGGAGAATATCTTATATGGGGCAAACATTAGCAACATTCTGTCTGCTCACCAGAATGTTGTTCTTGATGTGCTTGCATGGATTCCCTACGGCCTGTGCCACTACGGTGCGCCGTTCGTCTGCTCGCTCATCATGTTCATCTTCGGTCCCCCGGGCACCGTTCCACTTTTCGCCCGTACCTTTGGTTACATCAGCATGACTGCAGTTGCTATTCAGCTCTTCTTCCCATGCTCTCCTCCGTGGTACGAGAACTTGTACGGTCTGGCACCGGCCGATTACTCAATGCCTGGTAACCCTGCTGGTCTCGCCCGCATCGACAAGCTCCTTGGAATCGACCTGTACACTTCGGGCTTCAGACAATCTCCCGTCGTGTTCGGCGCCTTTCCCTCTCTGCACGCGGCGGACTCAACTTTGGCCGCTTTGTTCATGAGCCATGTTTTCCCCCGCTTGAAGCCTTTGTTCGTCACCTATACTCTGTGGATGTGGTGGGCGACGATGTACTTGTCGCACCACTATGCAGTGGACTTGGTTGGTGGTGGTCTGCTGGCCACGGTCGCGTTCTACTTCGCCAAGACCCGATTTCTCCCACGCGTCCAGAGCGATAAGACCTACCGCTGGGATTACGACTACATCGAGATCGGTGACTCAGCTCGCGCATATGGATACGACCTGGCTAGTTTCGATGGCGACTTCAATCTCGACAGCGATGAATGGACGGTTGGATCCTCATCCTCCGTCTCTTCTGGCTCCCTGAGCCCTGTCGATGACCATTACACTTGGGAGGGAGAGTCTCTGGCCTCCCCGGTCACCGACATTGAAGCCGGAAGACATGTTATCAGCCCTTGATAAGCTCTCGTCTCGACTTCTCGCAAACCTCACACTGCATATAGCATTCGCTTCTTGCATCTATTTAACGATTGGCGTTCTAACATTTGACGACATGCTGGTTTTATTGCATTGAGCCAATTTCGACACATACATCTTTAATACCGACCGCCTTGCTTCAGCCCTCGCCGGGCTTTTCAGTCAGTGTTCAATCGAACTCTCGTCTGACTGAAAGTGTGGGGAGTCATCACCCGATGACTTCTCTTTCCGCCTCACTGTACCATCACCGCAATAATTTGGCTGCGTAATGAATTCCTCCAGCCTACTATCGGAGCTCCGTCGATAATCTTAATACGGAAGGCCCAAGGCGACCTCTCTTCGGACCGCGCTGGGGTCTTACCTGCGACGCTCGCTTTGGGGAGCCTTTCTGGGATTTCTCAGAACCCCCCCATTCGCTTCGACCTCACTTTTTGTCATTCGCTGTTCGTCAGCTGGTCGAGCTTTACCTTTATTTCACCTTCCGCTCGGCCAGGTACATAGACTTTTATCAATTTGTGTCGATCGCTCACACCATTGGCGCCTGGGTTTTGAGACCATTCAATGAAAGAAAAGTTGATTGGAGGCGCTCTCACTCGCTTCCCCGTTTGCACTTGATTCGCTATGCATCACAAAGGATGCAACGCTGTTTAATGACCCTTTTTTGCATTGGCATATAGACAGAGGGGCTATGACAAAACCTCTTGCTCTCAGGCCGTTGCCACTGCCCTGAGACACATGTTGTCTGTTGTATGAGGAGAGAGGACCTGTTTGGTTTTATTTTCCAGGTTGGATTGGCAAGGAGAACCCCTCGACGCAAGGAAAATTGTCGCGAGGACCTGCATATATGGTGGCGGAGATTATCACTTTCTATTTTTCGTCTGTGCCCGCTTTCGTCCGCACGTGGGAGGTGGAAAACTGCTATGCTTTTTTCATGCTGCTGTGGAGGAGGAAGAAACAACTTGCATAATTCCAGTGAAGCCAGTCCAAGTCCTGACGCAACACACATACACGCGCACATTTTCCCTTACCCCTGCTCTCACACTATTTTTAAAAACTCCCTTCAACCTCATCCTCATCCTCATGGGGTGTGTGAATATGTGTCAGTGCGTCAGCAAAGGGTTTACTGAGAATCAAAACAAGAATTTTGTTACCTCTCTGCAGTTCCAGCACGAGCTTCAGTTGCCAGGCATTATTAATTATAATTATTTTTCAAACCAGGCAGTGTTATGATTTATGAAACCCACTTCAAACCAAACTTTGTGTTTATATTGTATATCAAAACAAAACTTCCTTTCCCCTTGAATTGAATCATTCTCCGTAATGGAGTGTATGTATCTGTGTGAGTGCTCGTTTGAGTATGTACGTCTATACCACTGGTGTTGGAGCCTCTTATAGACAATACTCTTCATACCTCCTTGAAGATCTATGGTCGGGCACCAGGGGCACGGACCGGCCAAGTATCTCCCTTCACCCACCAACCTCATAAGGGAATAATACTAGATAATAATGCTGCATAATTCATGGGATGTCATTGCACATATCTCATCATCTTTTTTTTCTGGGATTTCCTTCTTTTCTCTATCATGGAGTCATGGAAATAAGGGCAGTCTTCTTTGATGCATCATAAAATAGATTGAGAAATGTGTATAATGCAGTGTATGAATAATCGGATTGATGTCGGTTATTTGATGCTTGGGGAGTGTGTTTCGTAGTAGATAACTAAGATCTCATGATGGGAAAAGGAAAAGAAAAGAAAAATCAGTAGACGCTTCCTCTGATGCTTTGGTCTTCGCGGCGTTGGGCTTCTAGGGTGTCGTCTTCGTCCTCGTCCTCGACTTTGGGGTTCATGGGAGTAGTATCAGTTTGGTCATTAGGGTCGTCTGCGTGCTCGTGCTCGGGTTCGTTAGTCTGATTACTGCCTTCGTGGACGTGCTGAGACTGGTCCGCCTGGCAGGTTGCGCATTGCTCGGAGAAATACTCGTCATGGTCTTCGTCGTCGTTGTCGTCATCGTGGTTGTCGGGTTGTTGCTGATGCGGCTGCAGTTGATGTTGGGTGAGGATGTTGGCTACGCGCTTCGCTTGGATGGCTCGACGACCGCTGGAGGTGGTGGAATGATGAGGATGGCGGTGGTAATTGTGAGAACGGGTGCGACGAGGTCGATCGCTCTGTCGGCTGCTGCTCTCGTCGTCGCCGTCGTTGCCGAGATCCTGAGATGGTTTGCGAGAGGGGTCCGGGCGATGGCTGTGGTGGTGATGATGCTGGTGGGGATAGAGGTAATTGGAAGTGGAGGCGGAGCGCGGACGGGCTTCTGGAGCCGACTGAGTTGGTTCATGCTGGTGCTCATGGCTCGGGTGGTGGTGATGGTGGTGGTGGTGGTGGTGGTGCTGATATTCGTGTTTCTCATCCCGCTCGTCCTCAGAGGGTGCAAGGCTGTTCGCTCCGCTCAGGGAGCCTCCGCCGTCACGGCCGACCAGGTGGATGTAAGCGTAGGTGGAGCGGGGTGGGTGAAGGAGGTGGTCTTCGCTGTCGCGATGGAAGTGCCGGAGGTCTGGCCGGCGCGGGACTGGATTTGAGCTGGGGCTGGGGCTGGAGCGGGTTGATGAGGGGAATGGTTGGTCGGATGATTGACTTGTGTCAGTCAAGGCAATGGCTTTGGTTCGGATGGGCAGTGCCTTATCCAAGGTCGCGCTTGAGACCTCGAGTTCTAGTTGCGTGCCATGAAACTCGTACTTCGGCGAAGGAGCAGGATGTGTTCTCTCTAAAGGGCGAACATCCCTTGATCGATCTCCAAGTGCTGGCTCGGGGGCTGCGATCATATGTGGTTCTCCATGCGTGGCCGAATCTTTCGAGGTTGTAGTTGGAGAAGCATCGTGGTCAGCTTTAGTCTTGTCGGAGTTGTCCTTGGGATCGCTTGTCTTCCTGGAGACGGGGGATGAAGTGTCCACGTGAAGCTTGGGTTGTTCTGATCCGTGTGCTCGAGCTGAACGCAAGGAATTTCCTTTTCGAATTCCGTGATTACACCCCTCGGGACAGCCACCCCACTTGCGTCTAACCGGTACCGACGTTGTCTCCGACGGCGTTGCGGGCTGTGCAGGGCTGAGGCCTTTCGCTGCACGTTCGTGTTGCCGTTCCAGCTCTTTTTCCTTGCGCAGATCGGACCAAGTCCGGAGCTGATTTTGCAGGACATATTTACCATTGTCTGGATTGAGTTTCAAAATAACGAACTCGCAATGGTTGATGTTCCGTAGATCCTCAAAGTATTCCACGCTCCAATGGTACCATTTCATGAGAAACACTCTCGTCATCAAGCCATGCGTAACCAGCACGCAGACACTAGCAAAGTCGTCCTCTCCGAACAGGCGCCAAAGCGATTCGTTGAACCCACTGACACGGTCGTAGGCGTCCGCGGCAGACTCACCGTTGGGTATACGGTAGAAAAAGTGTCCATAATCAGCTCTTTCCAGCCACATTCGTTCCATCTCGGCCGAACAAGGCTGGAAATTGCCAAAGTCCTGCTCGCGCAACCGAGGCTCCTCATAGACCTTAATTGTATGCCGCGGGAACGGGGATGGGGATGGCGAGTCCGAAGTCAAGGACTGAAGAATGCCCTCCGTGGTTTCACGTGTGCGACGATAGGGAGATGTGAAGAAGTGTATCGTGTCATCTGGTCGGAGGAGGGCGCGTAATTTGCTTCCTGCTTCTAGAGCCTGCCGATGTCCTTCCGGGGTCAGTTTAACCCGATGGTCCGGGATGGTCTGATGAATCTCGCGGTTCTTGTTCCCTTCTGATTGAGCATGTCGGATCAAGATGATCATCTGTGAAACAGGTGAGCGACCGAAGTGGGATCACCATCGAGGGGCTGTGACACTTACCCGCGGCTTGCCCATGGTTGTTGTTTTGGCATGCGGTGGTGTGGTGTACAATTGATGTGGGGATACGAGGCGAGGTACAGGACAATCGCAGCAGACTGTAACGGCGGGTAGTGAAACGAAAAAAATGCACCCACTGACTGGTCAATTTCCCGAGAAGCTCGTGGCTTGCGAATCGATGTAGGTTTGTCTTTCGAGAATCGATCGATGGGAGAATCTAGAAAATGAGTTGTTGAGGAGAACGAGGATTTGCAAATGCGGCGGGACCATTGGAGGAACCTGGGGATTGCCTGATCAAGTTAGCACAGTCCAGTGATGTCAGTGCCCTGGTTAGTCAGCAACGGCCAGCTCAGGCACAATTCATCATTGTATACTAGAACATGGCCCCAGCTAGTACTAGATATTCTACACCTGGCAGCTTCCTTGGATCTTGATCTTGGTCTTCTCGGAGCTGATGAAGTGTTAAAGCTCACGAAACTATCGATTCTTATGTCTTAGTCAATCGATCAGCAAGCAACTCATTGCTTGATGTCATTTTGATAATCATCCTCCTTATACTCCGTACATGGTTTATCTTTGGTTTTCTCGTTGGCGCTTTTTCTACGTATCAGTTGACATTGAGTTCGCGTTAGACTTCGTAGACATTAAGCATCGTAAGATATAGTCATCTTTATCCACCATTGCGTCTGAAAGAATGCCAGAGGTGACTCCATTGAGGGACTAAAAATTGCGCGACGAATCCGACTTTCTTGCTTGCTTGCCCTCTTCCACCTAGATTGCAGGAGCATGATTATGGTAAGGATTTGATCCCATTCCAGTTCTCTCCCGTTTCCGGGAAGGACGACACTATGTGGGGAACAGTGTGGCAGACAGTACCTCCATCATGGATACTACATAGTATGTATCCTCCCCGCAACAGACTAAGCCTGGGCTGGCCAGTGACCCGCCAAGGCGGCATGCCGTGCCAATCCGTTCTCCGTCGCAAACCACTGCAAAGCTGGCCAGTTTCTCCTGTCTAGGTGACTTAGCTTCACTGTTTCAACTTCACAGACTCTCCCACAACTCTCCTTCCTTTCTTCGTCTCTGGGATCGGGTGAAAGCAGTTATGACCGATTATCTTTACGAGCTCCTGGCGCCTCAGCTGGGCCCAACCACCAATGCTCCTTCCGATCTTCGCTCCCCGGAGCACAATCCCACCACAGCCCAATACCTCAATCGTCTACCAACCCTCTCCCTTCAAGCATTACAGACGACAGAGCCTCAATCCTTAACGCAGTCCTCCCACTCGACCCTTTTGTCCCTCCAAGCGCTCTCCAACCGTTCTCACAAAGCCTTCGTGACCTCCGCGGACCATTTGTCCCACCTTCGCACAACTATCCCCCAGTTGACCCGCGACGCCCAAGCACTACGAGATTCAATCCCCAAACTCGACGAGGAAGCAGTTCTATTCTCTTCGAAATATAGCCGAGCAACCGAGAATGTATCCCTCGAGCGACGGAAGAAAGTCATGCAATTGGCAAGAAATGTGGACCGACTCTCGGACATTTTGGAGCTGCCAACCTTGCTTTCTACAGCCGTGTCATCCGCCGCGGCAAGCTCAGGTGGTACAGGGAGCTCGGCCTCGACCACATACTCGACTGCACTGGATCTCTACGCGCACATCAAGAGACTACAGACTTTGTATCCGGATTCCCCTCTCATCAAAGACGTGGTCATGCAGGCCGATGAAGCGATGAAGGACATGACTTCCAATCTACTTGCTGGGCTTCGGATGCAGAATCTGCGGCTAGCCGCGGCAATGAGGACCGTTGGCTGGCTGCGGCGAGTGGCGCCCGAGTTGGAAAACTTATACAATGACGGAGGGGCTACTTCCGGTGAGGGTGCCTTGGGTGCAGTGTTCTTGATCTGTAGACTGGCAAATCTGGTGTCAATGCTGGAAGCCCTGGATCCTTTGCGAGAGTTGGCCGAGCAGGAGACGCAGCGCAGACTTCACAAGACTGACAAACAAAACAGTGCGACCGGCACTTGGTCAGATGGTCACCAGACGGAGAAATACTTGAAACGATATATTGAGATTTTCCGCGAACAAAGTTTCGCCATTGTCTCCTTATACAAGAACATTTTCTCTCCTGACCAGTCCGAGTCTGAATTGGCCGTTGCCGGTCTACGTGGAATCGATAGTCGAGTCAAGGCGGTAGCCTCGAAGTCAGCCCGTGCAGAAATCCCCTTTCAACGTCTTCCGTCCGCCTTGGCCACTTTTCCCATGCAGCTGGTCAAATTACTCGCGGATACGTTGCGCACGTATCTTCCTAATGTTCGCGACAAGAGCTCGCGCGAAAGTCTCTTGACCCAGGTCCTGTATTGTGCAGCTAGCCTTGGCCGACTTGGGGGCGATTTTGGAATGATCCTTACGGAGTTGGGAGACGAGCAGGACGAAGACGATGATGATGATGATGATGATGATGATGATGATGATGATTTAGCCTACGAATGGGAGGAGGTGACACGGAAACACCGAGCCTTGGCAGGGCGGTTGGAGCAGCTGACTGGGGGTGGTACAACCACAGGGCCGTCTTCCAAAGGGACCTTGCGAGTAGCATCGCCAGCTTAGTGAGGGACTGGGGCGATTGAACAGCAGAGTGACAAAGAGCGTACTGTAAGGAAATTGCCAGCAAAGCTGCCAACAAACAAACACACACACAAAAAAACAAAACCAACAAATCGGCCATTGTCAGTGTCAGTGTCAGTGTCATTGAAGGTGAAGAAGGGATGATGAGCGTCTTTTGTTCCTCAATAAGGGAAGTCAGGACACCCGGGGATCGCTAACCCGATAAGGCATGGCATCCGCCGTCCAACACTGTCTGGACCATCCATCCATCCATCCATCCGTCATCCTCCCTTCCTCGCTTCCTCGCTCCCTCACTCTCCCTCCTCTCTCTTGTCTCCCCCATCCCTTTCGACAACCTTCAGACCACTCTTCCTCATTGACTCTATACGCCTCTTGTCAGCTCCAAACCCCCCTGACGCTTCTCTTCGAGACTCCTTCTTTGCGACTGGTGCTGGTTTCCGGTCACTGATCTATCCTTCTCCCCCCCGCGCTGCTGCCGCCGCCGTCGCCGTCTCCGTCTGTTGTGACGTTCTCCCTTGCATACCGTGCCACTGATTATACCCTCCTGAGCAATGAAGATATTTTCCTTGACTGCGTGAAGAAACTCCATCATTTACAGAAACTTGCGACCTTCATTTCACCACCCCTCCTCCTGTGACCCCGATCCCCGATGGCTGCCCCCGCTCTCTCCACCAGCGGGTTGATCGATCCAACAAAACAAGCCGAGTATCCTATTGTGCTGGGTGACAGGCTCGCTGGCAAGGGTGCATCAGACTCCCAGCTAGTCAACATTCAATATAACTACAAAACCAAATCTGCGACCGCCCGATCTAAAATCTCTCGATCAAGGCAGTCTCGGGATCGTTACAATCTGACGATCACGGATAAAGCACCAAATGCCGAGCAGAATGTGCTGACCTACACCTATCAAGGCAGTGTAGATCCGGCACAAGCTGCGCTGGAATCTCGGGAACATAATCTTGTCCTGGTATTTGACGCCAATCGGAAAGTGTTCGTACTAGAACCAGTAACGACACAGCTCAACTTTAATCTTCGGTCAGCCCCAGCGAAGTCACACAAGCAGGTCCTTGAACAATATGAGCAACTACGAACGTTGCAGGAGGAAGACCATGGTTCGGGTGACGATCGGGCGTCTGACAATGCCAGTGGTAATGATGACGGCCCGGCGGATGACAACAACCCCTTTGATTTTCGTCATTTTCTTCCAAAGGAGAACGTCGATGACGACAAATCTGCTTCAGATACCAGTGTGGGCAAAGCTGCGACACCATTGATGTTTGCTGTTAAACCCACTCCGAGTCCCAAGCCCGTGCCAGACAAGCAGAAGCAGCGGGAACCACTGCTCCGGAAAAAGGAGCGAGCAGAGGCTGTCAGGCTCCCGAAGTCAACACCGACAAAAGCACCCCCGAAGTCCCCGGCACGAATCGAACGCAAGGGAACCGACCGGAAGGTCGTTAAAGAGGATGACGTGCGGGTGAGCACAGCGAAGCCCCCGCCGGCTGAGACTGGCTTGGGATTGGTCTCGTCCCAGGTAACCGAGCCTTCGCCGGGGTCAAATATCATCATCGACGGTGACTTGATTATCGAAATGGGCTCGCCGCGGCCCTCGAGAATCGACACGACCTACTTCTCCGATACGCACACACCGGCCAGTGACGATCACGAGGAGGAAGATGATGAAGATGTTGACCATCTCCGACTTCCTTCACCAGCCCGCCACGGGAAAGCGCCTGCAGTTCGCGAGCCTGTCTCTGCGCCGCTCGTGGATGAAGATGAGCTGGATGACGATGATGCCCTAGCCGCTGAGATGGAGGCGGCCTTTGAAGAAAGTGCGCGGGAGGAAGAAGAGGCACGTAACCACCAGTCGCAGCCACCATACTCGTCGCATCTGTACCACGCACCTAGTGAGGATGAGAGCGAGGTCAGCGAGGAAGAGTAATACTGTCCCTTTTACGACTCTTGTTTATTAACCTGTATTTCACTCTTGTAACAAGTCTACATGCATATAAGCAGGGCGCATTGTGGAGTTTACACTGTTTGATGTTTGACAGTGAGCCCCAGCGGGGGGCGGACATTCATGGCAATAGATATAATACCAGCTGTTGCACCGTATTTGTATTGAAAAGTATATTGAAGACTGATTGACACAACTGTCAGTGTTATAGCATATTGGTATATTTATGACAAGTGTAGCACTGAGAAAACCACTTGTGAGAGTAACAGATAATAGTCCGAATGCCGGTTCTACGCGGCGGCCGATCTAGATCGGAACAACTAAATGATCCGGGCCGCATCGTCATTGGGCCAAGTGCAAGTCAAGAAAAACCACCGCTCTAGAAAGGAGCTTGACCGGTTCCTCCGGCAATAATCGACGACATCACGAGTTTCTCGCGCTTTACAGCCCAGTCCATCGCACTCAGCCGCTGCGAAACTTACCCGTTTTTCTCCATAACGCTTACTGTCGCGACTCGTGGACCAACACGCGTGGTGCGACTGGCCTCCCCAATTCTCGGCATCCGATGCGATGAAGAGTCACCCGCGGGCCATGGTTGAAACGACTCGATAAACCTCCAGGCGACGAGACAAAGTGGCTCACTGCCGCCAGTGGGCTACATTAAGGGTGCGCCTTCGTTTACTGCCCGGCTCCTTCGACAGCCTCCAAGTAGGGTGACTGAAGAACACTCGATCGGAACCTTACCCAAGCCTGCCTTCGCGTGCGGATTCGGGGCTCTCGGGATCGATCTCCTCTCACGTTGTGTACAGTTCTTCCACCTTCGACTCCTTCGGGATAAATTTTGCCCGCACTAGCGTCGCTTTGTGCTTCGAGGGAATTGACCCTTACGGATAAAGCTCATATGCACACGATGGCCTCTCCACGCGGCCACCGTCCGGGTCCCAGGCCTGTTCCTGCGCCTTCGAATACCGTCCTCCTCGCGACCCAAGCTCAGTGGCTCTTCACCGATGAAGAGCTCACGCGAACGCCGTCACAGCTCGATGGGATGAAGATGGAGGCGGAAAATACCTCCCGCAGCAAGGGCGTGAATTTCATCTCCCAGGTGGGTATCATGCTCAAGCTGCCGCAACTCACGCTTGCGACGGCCGCCGTCTACCTCCATCGTTTCTTCATGCGATACAGTATGGTCGATCTGCCGCAACGACCTGGAATGCACCCCTACCCCATCGCTGCTACGGCACTGTTTCTGGCTACAAAAGTTGATGAGAATGTGCGGAGGATGAAGGAGCTTGTGGTCGCTTGCTGTCGGGTAGCCCAGAAGCAGCCGAATCTGGTGGTTGACGAGCAGTCCAAAGAGTTTTGGAAATGGCGCGACACGATCCTCGTCAACGAGGATACCCTCCTGGAGGCGCTGTGCTTCGACCTGCAGCTGGAAGAGCCGTATCGCATCCTTTACGAATTCCTGCTGTTCTTCAACGTGGCCGATAACAAACAGATGCGCAATGCGTCATGGGCCTTTGTCAATGATTCGATGTTTACCGTCCTGTGCCTACAGTTCACCGCTCGCAACATCGCCGCCGCCGCGCTGTACGCCGCCGCCAAGCATTGCGACGTCGGGTTTGAAGACGACGAACTCGGTCGGCCCTGGTGGGAGCAAATCGATGTGGACATCCACGAGGTGCGTCGTACGGTCACAAGAATGGCACAATTATATGAGCACAATGCCTTGCAAAGAAATACGTACTATCTGTCCGCCCCCACCGCGTCAGACGAGGGTACTGAGAAGACCAGGATCCCGCGCGCGGGCGGTACGACAGAGCCCGCGCCAGGAACAGACCCCGTCAATGGGCGCAAGCGGTCCAGGGAGCCCGAAGAGCAGACTCACGACCGCACCCTGCACGAATCGACTACGTCGCGCGACCACGAGCCAGCTAGACAGAATGGTACACGGTCGCCGAAGCGACAGCGGAGGGAAGCGGAAGGCGTGGTGGCCGAGAGAGGCCCTGCGCATGAATCCTCGACTGTCCCCCACTCTAATGGAGGGCCACCGTCATCCCAAGACCGACACCACGGCAACGGTCACGTTCCTGCGGGACAACTCCCGCCGCCTCCCCATCACTCACAATCACGCCATCCGCATCCTCTGCCCCCTGCCCCTCGACCGTTCCCTCGCCGTGATAGCGCCAGCCGGGGAAGTAAGCCGGGGCAACCGGTGGATCCGATCCAGCAACGGATCGACGAGATTGTACAACAGAATATGTCCTCCCACGGGTCTCCGAGCTCTGCTAGATCTGAGCGACGGCCAATAGACCGTCATCGAAGCGACTGGGACGTAGAATCAGACGAGCGCAGGCGACGCCCGTCTGCTGGTGGCAGGAAGCCATCCTACGAAGAGCATTCGAACCACTCCCGTGCACCACCTCCACCTGCTCCTCCACCCCCTCCTCCGCCACCTCCTCCGGAAGAAGCCCGGCCACCGTCACCGGAACCAAGGATACCCGTTGAAAATGATGATGAGGGCGGAGGGAGTGAGGAGGGCGAGCTTTGATGAGCGGAGCTTTGCTTTTTTATACTTGTTGCTTTTTTTATGAGAACTCATAGATATCTACTATGCGCTGGAAGTTGCTGCACTGTATATAGTGCAACCCTTCGAGCAGAATCGTGGTCTTTGTTTTTTTGTTGGTTCTTCGATGGGCTAGCATTGCTCATTCATTGCTACTTCGCTTGGCTTGGCGCTGTGTTGGTTGTATGGAGAGAGGCGAAGGGATTGGGGATGAGAGGGACATTTTGTACTATACCTTTTGTTTAGACTTGAATCATCATTTTCGAGTGTTGTATGGGTGGTTCAATTGAGATGGCGGCGCCATATTGATGATTAGACTATCTCTATACTGTAGCATGGAACCTATGCCAGAGCACTGCTCTTGAATTCCCTTATTTCGTGCCTATACTCTTAGATCCGGTTACTGATCAAAAGCTCGTTCCGTCGCACTACAGTGCACGTTTTGTTCACGTTGTGTCCATTCTCAGACTTCAAAATGGAGGTGCGTTTTATACCATCGGCAAGCAATAGCTATCTACTGAGTGACTTGTGTTTCATCCCAGATCTTAATCTCTTGCACCTCGACCTCCATGGTCCAGTCGCCCCTCCACTCCCTCGCCCGGTACCCTCCTCTCTCCGCAACCACATGCGTCACGCTCATCCTCAATACATTCTTTTCCAGCACAAACTGCACGCCTTTCCCTGCCTCCCCAAAGACCAACTACTTCGTCTGCTCATCTAGTCGATACCCCGGTCGCGCCACTTCTGACAAATCCCCGCGAAACACATCCTGCACGGGACTCAACTCGAATAGCAGGCACGATGCGGCCGCACCCTCCATCTCCGCCCAGGGCAGATGGAATCCAGATACCGCTTGCTGTCCGGACTGCGTACACCGGCCCGCTACCAGGACCACGGTCAAGTCCTCGTCATTGCCTAGGTCGGCTGCCAGCGTCTCTGCCGTTTAGTGTTTCTCGATGGTGGGGTACGTCTTGCGCAACGCAAGGGCCTCGAATGCCACCGTCTCTGCAAAGATCATCCCCATCTGCGCTAAGATGGGGCGTGTCTCAATCAATGGGGCAAGGACTGGAGGATATCTTCCTGCTGGGCTGGAGGTTGATAGAGCGGGAACAGTGGTGTCTCCAAGCTGGTCAAGAAGAGTGGCTATCCCATAAGAATCAGCATGTATCTTTGACCTCCCCCGTCCCCCGGCCAAAGCCCTTGTTCTCCAAACCATAAGGTAGAAGCAGGGAGTAACTGGTGAGGGCGTCGAGGGTGGTGTCTGGGGTTGGAGGCATTTCGTCCGGCTTTGAATTGGGGAGTTGATTTGAAATTGAGAATAGAGGGAGTGTGTGAAAATAAACAAGATAGAAGAAATTTTAAGGTGGTGATACATGCCTAAAGTCGCGCGCCTGGACCGGGTTCACTATTCTAATTAGGATCAGGCTCATTGTTTCTCTGCCATCATCCGTCAACAACCACAGCTCAGATCTAAAGCAAGATCCTCTATTTTGTCAGTCCCTGCTTCAAATATCCAGACTAATCAGCGCGACCATCCTTGCAAGCTCTAGCCCCCCCCCCCCCCTCCAGCCAACACCGACCCAAACCCTAACCTGTGCTGATTCGGCCCCCCTGGAACATCAACCACAACAACCAGGATAAAACGAAACAGCCCCCATGCTCAAATTCCCCAGGAGCACTTCTTCCAGGACCACAATGCCCGCATCCTTCATTTCCGTGATTCCGTCTAGACCAACACAGTGTAGTATAAAAAGGCGGCCCCCCCCCCTTTTCCTCAGACCACCTCACATCCCCCACCCCCCAAAACCCAAAAAGCCATCATCCACTCTTTTACTTTTTTTCAAAATTAATCACACTCATTCCACGCCCAGCGAAGAAAAAAGAACATGAGATTCATCACCACCGTCACTCTTCTCGCGGCCACCCTCGCCACGGGGGTGACATCCACCCCGGTCTCGGTCCCGAATGCATCCCCTGACCACGGCGGCTCCATCCAACCCATCAACCTAGGCACCAGATCGGTGCACAACGTCGACGTCCTTCGCAAGCTTCCGGGTCCCAATGCCCGCTCCTGATCCCGATCCATCGCTGGGTATTTCTGAGAGAAACCCATCTACCAATACCAAGGAAGTTGGGATTGCGAAGTGCTGTCACCGCCAACAATCTCGAGATTTTGGGGTGTAGATCATCGCTGAAACGGATGGGAGAGGGGGAGAGGGGGGGCGTTGTCGGGCAAGGCTAAGGAGTATTTATGCGGGGGAGGGTCAGGAGGCAGGCGGCAAGTGTTTGGGGGAAGAAGGGGAACATTCATGGAATTTAGGGTAGGGCTCAAGGGCTTGGGGGCAATGAGAGGGCCAGATCCCTTTTTCAACGGTGTACTGTATTAGATGACTGTTTGTTAGTGCTGGTTATCGAGATTGTCGCGCTGACGACGCGCACCCATCAGAGATAAGGTCTGTTCGATCAGGAGCATGGCATTGGGGTATATAGGTATCCCGTGGTTTTAGGGCATAGAGGCTGTCTTCTGGCTTTTCTCTTCGTTCATGGCACAGGTCTATAGGTTGCGGATGGAAGATGGGGTGCATGTTTGGGGTTTTTGTTTCTATTGATTCATTACAACTGTAACGGGCCAGGTGCAATGAATCGAAATACATTTATACGCAGACAAAAGAAAAAATATATTAGACATCTGAAGAGGTCTGTCTATTGGGAAAGAGTTTCAACAGTCCCCAGGACTGTTACAAGTGTATATTAACTTACCTTTCCACCTCGAACCCACTCTGCCTCCTAACCCAAGCAGTCCAGACCGGTGGTCAACGTCTAGCATCCCCCGGCGCATGCGCTGTCCCGTCGCCCGACTGCTGCACAGTGACCTGGATCTGACTCGTCCGCCAGATCCCCCGCCGCAGGTCCGTGGCATCCGCCTCTTCACTGTCTTGATCATGGGGGATAGTATCCAGCGGCAACTCCGACTCCGACGGGAGACGCTTGGCCCCCGAGGGCTTGAGCTTGGGGGTGGTCGACAGCTTGAAGGCGGATGCGCCGGAATATGGATGCGAGGTGTGGCTCAGGCTGTCGGAGCGGTAGCCTTTCGATTCGAAGGCTTTGCGGAAGAAGGGCCGGAGCGTGGGGATGCAGGCCGCCACGATGACGACGTTCTGCTCGATGCTGTGTATCCAGTCAGACAGGTCAACTTTCTTTTCGGAGGATTGAGGAATGAAAACGTACAGGCCCCAGACGACTAGGGGTACTACATTATATACTGAACAGACTCCATGTTAGTCACAAGGATGAACTGACTGCTAGAAATGAGGCCGCAACTTACGTGGATCCGTCCGATCAGTAAACAGATGCAGATACGTGGCCTTGATGATGGTTACGATCGCCGAGAGCAGCGTTAGCCCCATCATGATGCACACCCCCACCTTGGTCGCGGTTCGCATCTGCAGCTTCCAGAAGACACGGATGGGCACCACGGCCAGGACGACATCCGTCATGGTGGTGTAGGCGCTGACCCAGTAGGAGAAGTCGTCGAAGACGCTGGCGTCCCAGCATTGGCCCTCCCGGGCGGCGTCCCACAGTTTCCGGGTGGGGCGGCACTGGAAGAAGACGATGAAGACGGAGACCATGGCGAAGACGACCTGCATCGTCACCATGGCGTAGAGACAGCGCGTGCGCAGCGGATTCGGGTCGAGGAGGTGGCTGACGAGGATGGCGATGGAGATGTTGGGGAAGCTGAAGGCGCCTGCATTCAACCGATGCATCAGTGATCAAGAACTATGACCGGAAATCAGCGGATGGAATTTGAGGCGTACCGATGTTGAATGCTGCGATCATGTTAACTAGGCATAGAACACCAAGCAAGGACACTCACGGAATGCTATGATCTGCCATTTGGCCGTTTGGACATATCGGTCAGTGCCATGGTCGGCAATCACCGCGGCCGTATGGCGACCGAGCCCTAAGGTGACCGCGTAGGAGACAAATGCCGCCGCGATGATGCTGAGGCCCTGCAGTCCAGTATCCCCCTGGTCAGCGAAAGTCTGTTCGTCTATCCATTCCCCATCCTCTACCAACTTGCTAGGTGAATCACCATGGAAAAGAAGATGAAGAAGTCATCCCATCCCAAGCTCTTCGCCACATGTCCTCGAGCAAAAAGCTTCAACGCGACCACGGCAATGGCAGTGCCAGTGAACACCCATGCGACCGCATTGATCTCGCCGGCTCGACTTTGACTGAAATCCACATCCGTGTCGAATGAAGCCATTCAGACTGCCTCGAATGCTGCAATGTTGAAGGCGTCCGCCGGTGAAGTGGCCCAAGCACGAGAGATGGGCCGGTTTTCTCCTCGGTCTCGACGAACAGGCATTGGCGAGATGGGGACACCCCGGCAGTTTGGGCCAGAAACGCACGATATAAGGAGGGCAGAACCTGAGAGGAGAAACGGTTGCCGGAAAATAAACTCCTCTGGCACCAGCGTCATTAGTCGTAATTGTTCGGCGACGCCACGGGGCTCTCTAGCGGCCCTCGGTAAACGTCAGAGGATTGATTCTACGAACGATATTACGATTTAGGAGCATTAGTACCATGGAGCCAAAATGTCACGGCCAGTGTTTTAGGGTTTTCGCGGAGATGGCGGGAAGTGGAGCGGGAACGAGTCTCCATATCTCATATCTCCGACGTTTCCAGCTTGTTCACTCCTCCACCGTTGATTTTGAATACAAGCTTGGGCCTTTCGTTGTTGATGGAGGCAATGTGGAACGCGAGATGGTGTGCAATACGCGGTATCCTCTCTTCAGTGTGGGTAGAATAACTGAATATCTCGAGGCAGCAACGGGGCGGGACAAGCCCCGCGTGGCTCGCAGTCGAAGGAGCGCTAACAACGCGTTAACCCTCTTAGCTTGACGGCGGTGCCTTCGCTACTACTACAAAGTGGCATGACGGACTTCCTACGGAGATGGTCTTAGTAGCATGTCCCAGGAGGCCAGCTGTCTCTAGCAGACGCAGACACCCTTGTCTCGCTCCATGTGCGCACATGCACCTCGGGGTTCGTCCTATCTTATGTCCTTGTACGTACAGTACCTGCAGCAGGATCCTTGTCTACCACGGGGACGGCACACTGCAGGGATCTCTCATCCTTCGAGGACTAAGACTTTACTGCATAAATCTGCCCCAATCACTCAGTCCCTCCAACACAGAAGAAACTGGGGTCGAAGACGGATTAACGACTACATGAACAAGACGAAAGCCACCCAGCCTCGTCTCGAGCAAACACACGTGTTGAGATACAGACAGACTGTTTCCATCCACTTCCCCATGGGCTAGAATGTGACTAGCTTGCACTGACTATAGCAGCAGTCTATCTTCCGGCTACCCCTCACTGGAAAAGGAAAAGATATATGAAGCCCTGGACGCCCCCCATGAGCCCCTCGCTGCGTTTCTCTCTGTATTCCACTCTCACCTTGCAACCAAAATCATGACGAATCCATCTGTATCCACTATCTTGGAAGACTTGGCCGCAGCAGGCAAGGCCTATAACCAGGCCGAGCCTGGCTCCCGAGAAGCCCTCATTGATCGCAGCCGTGCGCTGGTGGCCGCGCTGGAGATGCCCAGTGAATTTATTCAACGCAGCTTCTGGGCCGAGGTATGAGCATCATCCCAGTATCACTCCCAGTGATGTACCCACCTGCTGATTCACACGCTTGTGACAACGACAGCCCGCCATGTCCGCCATCATCCGCATCGCCGTGGACGTCCAACTATTCCAGCTACTCCGCGACGCAGGGGAGGCGGGCCTGAGCCCGTCCGAGCTGGCCGACAAGACCGGCGTCGACGTCGTGCTCCTGCAGCGGTTGACGCGCCACCTGGTGGCGATGTACCTGATCAGCTTCCATCACGGCGCCTTCCACGGCACGGCGCTGAGCGACCAGCTCGCCGCGGACAACTACCAAGACAGCATCTCCTTCTGCTACGACACGGCGCGCCCGTCCTTCAACAACTTCCCCGCCTTCTTCCAGAGCACCCACTACCGATCCCCGACCGTGGGGAGTTTGGACGGGCCCTTCCAGCGCGCCCATCACACCCCGCTCCACTTCTTCGACTGGCTGGTGGCCAACCCGCCCAACCTGCCGCACTTCGACTCCTTCATGAGCGCCTACCGCGCCGGCAAGCCCAACTGGTGCGACCCGGGCTTCTACCCCGTCGCCGACCGCCTGATCGCCGGCTTCGAGCCCAGCAGCGACGACGCCGACGACGCCGAAGACGCCGAAGGCGTTCTCCTCGTCGACGTCGGGGGCGGCCGAGGCCACGACGTAACCATCTTCACGCAGCAATACCCGACACACCCGGGGCGAGTCATCCTGCAGGACCGCGAGCCCGTGATCGCCGCCTTGGCTCCTGCCACCACCCCCACCCCCACCAGCCTGAAACCCACATTCACCGCGCAGGCCCACGACTTCTTCACGCCGCAGCCCATCGCCGGGGCGCGCGCCTACTTCCTGCACTCGATCCTGCACGACTGGGACGACGAGCGCGGGGTGCAGATCCTGCGAAACCTGGTGCCCGCGCTGCGCCGGGGCTACTCGCGGGTGCTGCTGAACGAGATCGTGGTCAGCGAGGAGCGGCCGACGCTCGCGGCCACGAGCATGGATCTGATGATGCTGGCGCACTTCGCCGTGCGCGAGCGCACCGAGCGCGAGTGGCGCGCCATCCTGCTCCGGGCGGGGCTCCGCGTCGTGGAGATCTACACCTACCCCGGGGTGGCGGAGAGTTTGATTGAGGCGGAGTTGGTGGCTTGATTTCTCCGGATGGTGATGCTTTTAGCGTGTGGTTTTTTGTTTTATAGGCCAGGCACAGAGGTCAGTCAGTCAGTCAGTCAGACATGGGGGTTGAAGTTAGCTGAGCTGAGCTGTGTGGTTCGATTGCAGCGGCAAAGAGGTAAAACCAGCCACAACCTCGTTTCCACGATTCCAACCTCTCTTGACTTTCTATTTTGATAGCTAGACGAGAGATCGTCGATCAGCACAGTATACTACAGTAAAGTACACAGTAACTAACTACAGTCCGGCCGGTCGAAATTCTAGATTCTTTTATTTCTTTAAGATAAATTTATATCTTCTTCCCTCCCTATCCTTCTCTACTCTTATGACTAGGTTGTTCAGATTTAAATAAGCTGGCGGAGTAGCTCTTTATATCTCCAGAACCCCGGTTCGTAGAGTTAAACTGCTCATTGTCTAGTATGGGATAGAGGAATGGGGTCGATGGTCCAGAGTTATACTATACTATACTAAACTACACTACACTACACTACACTACACCCGCTGCAAGCCAATCAGTTCAAATCATGAAATCTATGCTGTGTCTTCTTTTAGTCTCCGGCATTCGATATCAAACTTCCCTCAGACCCTCCTCTCCAACTTGAAAAATAAAACCATGGGGGTCATTGGGAAACGGTCATGGTATTCGATTTGGATACATGCACAGAACTCAAAGGGGCTGATGCGGGGGTTGAGGTTGAGGTTGTATTTCCACATGATGCTGGATGCTGGACAAAAGTGAATGCCAAGCTGATATAGTAATAGTCGATTCGGTAAACTACTTTCAAAGTTGCTGAAAAGGGCCGTCCAGTGGGGGCAGGAATAATGGTTTGGTGGGCGATGTAGAGGTCACTGCAGGCTACACAGTCTACTCAAGCCACGGGAGTCATAACTACGTATCTGCTTGAGCACGCACAGCTGTTCGTTTAAAACACTTCAGAGGGGCGGTTTGAAAGTCAGAGTTGTCGGTCATCGGCTTAGTTGCTACCGTTGCTGTAGATTCATTGAGCTATTGTTCGAACTGAATCATATATCAATCATGAAAGCTATGCAATCTGCTAGTCACGCGGGAAAAAAAAACACTATCTATCCGCCGATCACACCCCAATCGCCTTGTCTAGCAAACTGCTCGGCGCCACGAAACTAAACCCGCCGAACGGATTACTCTCGCCCAGCCCCAGCGAGACCGGCGGCACCGCCGCCTGAGACGCCTTGTAGTGTTCATCAAACCCATGCACAATCGGGCTGAGCGGCAGCTGCGTGAAGTCCACCGAGAAGTTCTCCGCCAGCGCCGGGTCTGTCACCACGGGCACGATGGGCGGCGTCACCTCGCGCCGCTCCAGGGCCTTCCAGTCGATTTTGCGGAAGAAGCGGTGGCTCTTGATCGTCTGCAGATCCTTGGGCATGTGGTACCCCAGCCGCTTGGCGGGTTCCTTGCGGAGGAGGCGCGTCAGTAGGTCCTTGGCGTCCGGACCCAGGAAGTAGGGCAAGGCCAGTTTCTGCTTGAGGATCTTCTCCTGCAGCTTGGCATTGTTGTTCGCCTTGAAGGGCGGGGATCCCGTGAGCAGATCATAACCCAAGGCGCCGAGGGACCACCAGTCGCAGGCCTTGCCGTAAGGTTTGCCCTGGATGACCTCCGGGGCCATGTACTCGATGGTCCCCAGCGACGAGTTGCAGCGGTCGTCATCGCTGACGGCGATCTTGCTCAGCCCGAAATCCGTCAGCAGCAAGTGCCCTTCCTTGTCGAGCAGGCAGTTCTCCGGCTTGAGGTCCCGGTAGATCACCCCGACCGTCTGGTGCAGGTGCTCCAGCGCCAGCACCATCTCCGCCATGTAGAAGGCGGCCGCGTCTTCGTCGAACATGCGCTCCATGGCCAGGTGGTGGAATAGCTCGCCGCCTTCGGCATACTCCAGGATCAGGTACAGCTTCTCGTGGTCCTGGAACGCGTAGAACAGCTTGACCACGAACGGGTGGCGGTTGACGCTCTCCAGGATCATGCGCTCCGTCTTGGTCTGCTCCACCAGCTTCTTGTGCACGGTGATCGACGCCTTGCGGAACTGCTTTTGTGCATAAAGCTTGCCCGTCAGGACGTGGCGCACCAGCAGCACGGTCCCGAAGGATCCCTTGCCCAAGCAGAGCAGCGGCTCGAAATCGTCAGACGCCATCTTGCGACACAGCTGCTGAGTGCGCACATCGCGCCCGTTCGACGCCTCCTGAGACTTTTCCTCAGCTACCGCATCGGCGCTGACGTAGTCATGCTCCAGAGGCACCTCGTAGCTGGTCAGGACTTCCGTCTGGTCACTGTCCGAGCAGACGCTGGCATTGCTAGGCGTCTCCGAGCGGGTCCCCTGGCCGGACAGGCTCATAGAATCCAGCTGCAGTTTCAGGGCGCTCACTCCACAACCGGTGGCAGGTTGGACCAACGGGCTGCTGGGGCCGGTCCCCGTTGGCGCACGGGGACGGGGACGGGAGCTCGGCGCGCGCGAACTGCAGGCCGAGCGGTCCGAGTCCTCATCGCCCGAGCCGCGAGGGGTGAATCCACGCACGGTCGAGATGGCTGGAGCCACCGCGTGAGCAGCGGCCGCCTGCTTTTTCTTCTTCTTGCGACGGTCCGCCTTCCCAGCCAAGAAATTCCCATTCAAATCCGGGGCAGGGAAGGGTTTGGTGCCATTGACCGCCGCGGGAGGCATCATTGCGACCTTCCGCTCAGGACTACGGGCACTGATCCGGAAGCCGGTTTCTTGGCCATCGTTCATGGTACTGTCCGCACGAGAGTGCGACATGTCGGCCTGCGGGCTGAAAACATCCGCGACCGAAAGGTCATCCGGTGTCATGGTCGCCGAGAAATCCATCTTTTCTCCCACCGATTTTCTCCCACCAAAAAAAGGGCGAGGTACAATTTCGCAAGAGGAGACCGATCACATGCACTCATGCATCGACAATTTGAAAGTACGCTCGTCCAAGCGGCAACCTAGTAGTGATCTGAACCAAAAATGGTTAGCATCCATCAGGCATAAGTTAGATGCACATACACGAACACGCATACGCGGGGTTAAGTCAAAACCGGTTTTTGCAGGAGACGCAAGGGGATCAAATTGTAAACTCACCCACACACCAATTGTAGATCGAGGATTCAAAGAACACCGCGCGCGCAACTCTTGTGAAGGAGTAGGTGGCTTGGCAGGAGCCCCTCGAAACTAGCACCAAATTACCGTCCGCCCTTATTCAGGACGGACCCTGGACCCTTAGCCAAGTCACCTCGCCAGCAGTGAAATCGGGCGAACGAGTGGATGACACGGCCTGGGTGCCAGCCAGAGTGGAGTGATATCGCGACACCGTAGACACCGTCGAGGGGGAGAAATCGGGGAAAGCGGGGGAATCGGTAGGGCAGCCAGCGGCGGAGCAGCGGAGATGAGCGGACGACAAAAGCGTGGATGGCGCAGACAGGCACATAGAGATACAGCAGGCTAGGTAGCCAACGAGGCAAGTGAGTTGAGTAAGAGATGAAAAGTGAAATAACACACAACGGATGTGTTTTGTAGGTTGTGGGGATCAAATAAAATTCCAGATTCCCTTAAAGAGGGGGGGAGATTTAAAGGAGGGAAAGGGAAGGGAAATGGAGGGAAAGTGAAATCAGGCTTAGAAGGAAAGCTGACACTGCGAAACAACCAAGGCCGATGATGCCCGCTGAGCCAATCATCAGCCGCCGGGTGCTAAGCGACGCTAGTCTCCTTCGAGCCAGGGCTGCGTCACGTGTTGCCGTCATTGGTCTCGGTTTTCAGGCCTCCCTCTTGCCTATTCAGGTAATTTCACTCAGGCATCCCTCCGAATGACACGGCATGTAGGTATGTCGCATACAAACCCAAAAGTAGGTTACCTATCATACCTATGGCCCATCTATAACCAAAAGCACAATTCCATATCCAATGAAATCCTAACATGAGGTACAAAGGTACAATACATCCTTCCTACTCAAAAAATGATTGCGACCGAGTAATTTGAACCCCAGATCGTTCTACAAAGGACAACGCGCTGGGCTTCTGGACCAGCACCGTCACTCGCTCATTACCAAACTCCATCGTCACAATGCGCGCCACGAAAGTGGCCAGCGCCTCGACAGTCTGGAAACTCGTAGCTTCGACCCGCTAACCCACCCCGACATTAGCAAATGTTCATTCAGAAAAGACACACCGCAGCAATGAGCTCTGCTTACCTCTGCCACAGCCCGCGTCATGGCCTGATAGGTATTGATCACCGTGGACCCCCAGGGCAGTTGACCGGGGCCCTTGAACTCCAACGAGACGATGACCGCCTGCTTCTCGACTCGCTCGTGGGAGTTGACCCCCAGGATACAGTAGCACCGGATGCCATCGATCCGGAACTCCTCCTCCAGCACCACCGGGCACCGCTCGGCCTCCGCCAGGTTGTCCACCGCAGCCGCCCCGTTCCGCTGCCGGTACCCCCAGACGGTCACACTGCGGTATTTGAGTCCTTCCTCCGCGCGGAGCAGCGCCTTGGGCAATTGCAACGAGACCTCGCACTGTCCGAACACCGCGTCGATGGGCGGCGGAGCGGCGGCGACGGCAGCCGACGGGTTGCCGAAGATGGCCGCCTGGGCCTGCGCCTGGGAGCCCGCCGACGCACTGCTCCGGCGCCGGGTGTCGTGGTGCTGGTGCACATGGGACATCCGCCGAACACCGGCGGCGGTCTCGTCGAGGAGGCCCAGTCCGCAGTTCGCAACGATCCCCGCCGTCAGCCGCACGTCCTCCCCGAGCGCAGCCCCCAGCATCTCATCCCGTCGGCTGCCGTCGATGCTGACCAGCTGCTGCGCCGATGCATCGCCCGACTTGCCGATGTTGCGGATATCCTCCTCCAGGCGGCGATAGAGCTTTCCGTAGTCCAGTGATAGAGAGACATCGTCGGCGATGGCGGCGGCGACCGCGGAGGAATAGGATAGGTTCAGCGATGCGGAGCAGGGCTGCGGCTTACTAGGACGGTGCCATGGGTCCGGGGCCGCAGGAAGCGTCAGCTGGATGTTCTGGAGCCGCACGCTGTCGAGGACCGGCGGACGGGGTGGGATATGGACGTTTACGCGTTGGTTAGCCATGATGCTAGCTGATAGTTGTGCAGAGATCAAAGGATGGATGAGGTGGGAGCGAGTGTGAGAAAGAGACGTTGCGAGCTGAGAGGGAAGCTAGCTCGCAGCGGGTGACCGTCGGGAAGATGCTGAAGCTACCGAAATTCGAGGCCCTGCCGTGACGTCAGCCCACAAGACGTCAAAGTGAATTCAAACACTCGAGAAAAGGTAATTTGAATAAAATTGTCTCGCACCTATTGTTAATTCAGAGAAGACCCTGTCTAGCTCTTGTGTCAATGCGACAGGCGCAGGGGGAGAAACCAGTAGTCGAGTCATTGGCAAAATAAAGTGGTGGGGGCGCCTCCGTCTTAGCGCGGGGAACTTGCTTTGTTGCCTTGCTGCCTTGCTGCCTTGCTGCCTCGCACGTCTTCTCCTCTCCTACTCCTACTCCTAAGCTCGCTTCCATTGTTTACTAGCCACTCTGGCAACCACCTCCCTTTCCCTTTTCAAACAGTGTTATTATTCAGTAGATCCAATATACACATACATTTGCCCATGAACCCATGGAGGAGAAGTGAAATTCACATCGTTAGATATTACGTCGCAAAGGGTTGAAGGCCATCCAGGGTCGCGTGCTGCTACATCCCTTGGCTGCGCTGAGGTCGACCAAGAGACCAAGTCGCGCGCGGAACTCGAGAGACCAGCCCAGAGCATAGATCGCCGAATCATTGGGTCATCATACCACGTCCGTTAATGGTCAGAAGCGCCTTCGTCTCTTCGTTCGTTATTTTCTTCTTTCTTCGCCACCTTTCGTCTGCGGTGTACACACATCCGCATGGTATTTTCAGCCGTATCCGGTCCAGGAGTAGAAGTGCAGGTGACCGAAGTCGGATTATTTTGTAGATCAGAGAGAAAAATAGCGCAAAGGAAAGCAGTTCAAGCAGAGCAAAACAGGTCAATCAGAAAGCACAGTGGGTATCCGCCATGCACTTAGTGAAACACAATCAAATGACAGCAAGCGAGCCCCTACCAGTAGCCGCGGCGTTCGTACGGCATGTACTCACCCCGTGGAGGACTCCGGGGACGGGGGTAGGCTCTGGCTTGCATGTAGGGGTCATCGTAGTGCCGGGGTGGAGGTGGCGGACGAACATCATACGGATCCTCATAGGGTCGACGCGGAGGAGGGTAGTCTTCAATCCGCGGGCGAGGTGGCGTCCGGCGTCCGTACCCATCCCGTTCATAGTATTCCCGCCGCATGGGGATAGGAGATCGTTCCCGGTAATGAGCCCGCGGACTGTAGCCACGGGGTGCAGGAAATCGGCGGTCGTATTCCTCCATTGGGGGAAAGCTCCGACGAGGGGATCGCGACCGGTAGGGGTCACGGAAAGAACGGTCTTCCGGGGGAAAGCTTTGGATCTGAGGAGAAATGAATAATGTGAACTGGATGTGGATCTGTCAAGAGTCCTTACATCGGCGATACATGTCACACGAGATCCCTTGAACTCGCGCTGGTCGAGCTTCTCGACGGCAGTTTTCAAGTCGTTGGCGGTCTCAAACTCAACGAACCTTTGTTCATAGTGTTAACGGTAATCCAACGGGGCGTCCAGGGGAAAGAGAATGCGACGCACCCTCTGCCAAGCTCACGGCCGGTCTCGGAGTATACCACATCAAGGCCAGACTGGCGGGCAAAGTCTTTCAGATCCTAGAGTACGAATTGGTGAGTTCATTTCCCGGTGAAGCAAGTCTGATATCCGGTAGGTCCATGTGGTTGAGAGCAGAACGATGAGGCGCCAGTCGCAAAGGGTCTCAAAAGAAAGACCAAAAATCAAGATCCAAGGCAGGGTAGTCCAAAAGGGGCATAATGTTCTCCTTCCAGGTTGAGGTCGTCCAGTCTTCAACCTAGCTCGTTGGAGAGCCTAGGTTGCTCCTCGAGTAATGCGTGTAGCTCCCAAAATATCGCTCGCAGTCGGCACATATCCAAAACCGGGGCAGGCTCGGGATATGTAGACACAATGTGTAGGTAATAGGTAAAAGGCAAAAAGAAATAGGTAGAGATGTCAAGGAACGCTGATGAGCCGGGCTTCAAGGCGTCCGTTTATTCCTAGGGAAAGGGGACTTGGGCTGCTAACCTGCCAACTTGTTTCCGGGAGTCCAGAAAGTAACATGCGAAAGATCGTGCGGCGGGGGCGAGGCATGTTGGGGCGGTCCATCGGGCCAGGGAAGTTTTCCTTGCGGCGCGGGCCACGGGCAAATTGCACGGTGAGTCGCTCGCCCTTGAAATCGCTGCCATCTGTGGGTTTGCAAGCGTCAATTGGTAGCCCTGGAGAGGGGTCTGACAGTATCACGTACGAAAAGCTAAAAGAAGAGTAATTGTTAGTCAATGGCAAGTGACGTGGCTTACGCTGGCCAGGGAAATGAGGGCTCACCGGGAACAACATCTCGAGCATCCATCGCGTCTTCGTACTCGATGAAGCCGAAGCCATTCATCAATTTGATCTCTGTGATCTTTCCGGAACCATGGGTGCTGAAATGCTCCTCGATATCCTGCTTAGTTACTGAATTAGGACTGCGACGCCCACAAGGGCGCCGCATTTAAAGGTCAGCTCATTGCGGAAAACAAAACACGTAAATGGGTCCAAGAAAAGTAAATTGAGAATCCTCCCCTGCAATGTCCGGGTTCGAGGAAACCCTGCGCAGAGTGGGGAGGAGCGCGCGCAGGTCTGGTTCCTGGCTAACAACCCCAACAGGTAGGATCTGAAAGCAGGAAAGAGATGCAATGGCCCACTGAACCAACGTCACTTGAGGGACTGGAAAGACATCCATCCAGAACACATGGCAATCCAGTGGACATCCTGTTACTGTGGCGCAGGTGGGCTGGAACAGATTTGGAAGGAAGAAATCCATATCGGATGGAAAGGAGACCTTGAAGAACGGATAGATGGCTGCATACCATTGCGGGGAAGGTTCCCGAGATAAAGTCGGGTGGACGAGACTTCAGTCATGGCTGGAACTCGGAAAGCAAACAAAGCAAGTCGCGGGATAATCCAATCGGCAAGGGGAGATTAATGTGTGGCCTCGGAAGTTCTTCCAGTTGGTGATCTGGGGGAATAAGCCACAGATGAGGATGATGGCCTGGTTATTATTCTCTCCAACGGTGTGTACTCCAGGTAGCTTAGTTGCGACAGAAACGGTAGCTCGAGATAGTTCGGTTTTCCTGGCAGTCCGGGAGCCGGGGAATAGACAGTCGAGATATTCCGGATGATTTTAGTAGACCTGGTGGTAGGTAAATAAAGAGACACCACCAGCTTGGAGCTGAGAGTGGTGTGCGTGCGTGCGTGCGTTTGGCTATCGTTGGCGAGTTATCGCAGTCGAGGGAAAAGGAGAGGAGGGGGGCGGAGGGGTTAGTCGAGGTAAATTGTTGTCAGACTGTTTATTATGTCGGGATAATCTGATAGATGAATGGATAGGGGGGTACGGAGGAAGGAAGGACGGTGACAGGTGACAAAAGTTCGAGAAGCTAGAAGAGAGGATAAGGAAGAGTTAATGGAAAGAAAAGACAAGAGAGAAAGAAGAAGAGAAAGAGGAGAAGAGAAGAACAGGAAAGGAATCGAGTGAGCGGGCGAGCGATCGTCACGGCGCGAAAAGAGGAGAAAGCAAAGAGGCGGCGGCGGCGGCAGAGCAGAGCAGAGCAGAGCAGAGCAGAGCAGAGTTGCGGGCGGGACTAGGACTGCGACTGCGAGCTTGACCGCCAGGGCAATTGTTTCGGACCACTGGCGGTGGAGGGCATCCAATGGCGGACGACCTTCCCGGATCGCCTCACTCTGCGGTTCCACGTGGCCCCGCCTTGTCCAGTTCCTGACTTTTGCCTTCGGAGAGGATGTTATGATAGCTAGTGGAAGGGGAATAAATGGACGATGCCGGTTGAGGTACAGCAAAAGGGTGCCAGAGGACTTTTATAGGAATGCTGAGCTCGCCGTATATCTTCCATAGTTAACCGTGTTCTTGGCTTGAATGCAAGATGCAGATGTATATATTCCCGTGACTCTGGCCCAATGTGCCACCTTCGAGGCCCCCCACACTATACCAAGAACACATTTCTTGCCGTGTAGCCTCTTCTATACTGCTGCTGTGGAGCCCCAGAAAAAGCTAGTGCTAGATACACCTGCAGATACATGTACCGGTACCTTTATGGTGAGCAAATTCGATTCATTTCGATCTATGCGATGATACTTCAACGGTATAACACAACTGAGAACAATGAAGTAGGGGGTCCATGACCCTGTTGACCAAGCTTCCAGGAAAGTTGAAGGCTCCTTGAGCTACTGAGTCGGCTGCCAAGCGAAAATGTTGGATATGCTGTACGCATAGTATTGCAACAGTAATGATATAGATTCTTCAGCCACGCTGCCTCGTCTCCGTAGTCCCGAACTATAAGCTTTGGAGGAATCAACAAGCAGCGAGCATAGCCCTTCGTGTCGGCAGTGTCTGCAGATCTTGAGCACAAACCCTTTGCGGAATGCATTCCTCCATTTCCCAAATGATTCATTTGTGATGTATAACACCCTCAGCAAACAACATGCAATCTACAGATCAACCTAGCTGAACCGCGGCTGGCAAAGCGGATGATCCGCGCAAAAATCCAGCTAGGCCATACAGGGACTAGTGTCTTGGCACTTTGCCCCATGGCTGGAGGTACGGTAGCAATAATAGAGACTGTCAAATACGAGTACTTCTGTGAATTAATGCTTAGGAATGAGGCAAATTCACCGAGTCTTGACGCCGAAAGCCGTATGTACATGGTTCCATATCATATGATCAATCCCGCTGCTTTTGCTACAATACATTGGATATGCCTAATCAGGTCATAAAATACTTCGGTCCCTCGCCACCCTGAGGTGTCTGCCAGTTGATATCCTGAGTGGGTACCTTGATATCGCAAGTCTTGCAATGGATGCAGCTGTGTATGGTTAATATTCTGTCAACAAGGGGAAATATGATGGAAGAGCTTACTTCTGAGCATTGATCTGGAAGCGAACACCATGCTGCTTGCTGGAGTCCTCCACATACTCATATACACCGGCCGGGCAGAACCGGTTCTCGACACCCTGGTACTTGGGCCAGGAAACATCCGTATGCTTGTCCCAGTCCTTCACTTGCAAGTGGACGGGCTGGTCCTCCTCGTGGTTGGTTCCGGTCCGGCTGACGCTGGTGAGAATATCGAAGCTGATCACGCCGTCCGGCTTGGGGTACTCAATCTTGTTGCACTGGGAGGCCAGCTTCGTGGCCGCGGCGTCGGTAGTGTGGTGCTTGAGCGT